ATCCCTCGATCGCATATTCACTCAAGGCTGGCTCCCTGATAACCAGGACATGTTGCAGGCTCGACTTCGCACAACGGGTATTACGGAAACTCTGTTTGAGCTCGGACAGATGAACTTCCGCATGATGGATGTTGGAGGACAGCGGTCAGAGCGGAAGAAATGGATCCATTGCTTCGAGGGTGTCCAGTGTCTGTTGTTCATGGTCGCCTTATCTGGATATGACCAATGTCTGGTTGAAGATCAGAATGCTGTAAGCACGATTTTCCCAATGTTCTCGCTTGCATCACTAATCATATTTCACAGAATCAAATGCACGAGGCCATGATGTTATTTGAATCACTAGTCAACGGCGAATGGTTCAAGCGCAAACCGATTATTCTATTCCTCAACAAGATTGATCTGTTCAAAGGAAAACTCGCCATCTCCTCTATCTCGAAACACTTCCCAGATTATACCGGCTCTGACACCGACTACGATGCCTCGGCACAGTACTTTGCAGACCGATTCCGTGGCATCAACCGCATCCCAGACCGCGAAATCTACATCCATTACACTAACGCAACCGATACAACACTACTCAAGGCGACTATGGATTCAGTACAGGACATGATAATTCAGAAGAATCTGCATACCTTAATACTATAAGGTAGAGGCCCTCAAATTCCCGAGGCATTCCCCATGACCGTCTGTCTGTGACGATGATTTTCTTTTTTTTCTCTTCATTTTCTATTTCTCAAGCTCTTCAGCCTACCAGTTATTTTCCGGTTGCATTCCAGGGCGGCTACTATTCGTTCACTCCTTCGTGATCATTGCCATATCTCATTTTCTTTTCTTTTCTTTTCTTTTTAACGAGGCGTCTTGATTGAGAGGTTGTTTGCTCTCTGCTCACATCATTGGGTTTATCACGTTGCATCCAAAAGCCTATCCGATTTCGCCAACTAATGCCCATGCTTCGGTTTACCGACTGTGTCGTTGCCACTCCCCTTTTTCTTCCTTTTTTTGGTTTAATGCAGAGTGATACCATTTGTTTGTCTTTGCAGCTGTGTTTACTAACGACTGCTCTGTATTATCACAATCATTCTGTGTCTTTATTTACTATATCTCATTTCTGAATGAACTCGATATCCTGCTCCTTTATGGGCACTTTTTTTTCACTCTTCGAACTCCAATTTCAACGTAGTTATTAGATGTCAAGTCAGGCAGCTTACCATCGAATTCTTCGATGTAGATGTAGATCACACGAGATGAAATATTTCTCCACCCTTGGAGGGCTACACTGCATAGAACGCTAGAATCCAAAAATCAACCAGATGACTCGACAGAGTAAAATGGCCAAGGGGTTTTTTCCCATTAAGGGTCGTAGGCTTTACGCCTCAGGCACAAATATTACATAACATCCGCATGATCAGTGACCCGAGTTCCGGGCCGACTGATTTCGCCTCCAATTCAGACTCATTCACCTCCTCAGTGACTGGGTTATTTGCCAACCATGTTGTCAACATCTTTACGCCGGGCGGCATGGACTCCCATGTCGCTTCCCGGGATAACTCGCTCGGGTCAAAATCTTACTAGCAGCTTGCTCGGCGCAACCCGACCTCTGCACCAACGCCGGTATTCCTCCTCATCCTCCAAACCGCCCGTCCCGCCTAGCGATGGCTCCCGACGAATGGACACCTCTGCTCCGGCAAAGGGAGTCAACTCATCTAGCGAAAAGAGCAAGGCTAACCGCCGTCGGGGGAAGGACAGCTCTGCCCGAAACGGATCTTCAAAGTCTAGCCAGCATGCCGCATTTTCCAACCTCCCAAGTGTTCCCTCGACACAGCACCGACAGCCACATGGTTAGTGCTCAAACCCCAGCCAGCTCTGAATGAGAGGTTGTCTCCCCAAAGAAATAACCCGAAGCTGACTTTTCTTTTCTTTGCCCGCTGCTAGATGTCCATGTAGCATCGTTCTTCTCCATCCACCGGCCAATCTCGGTGACGACCACCGTGCCCCCGACCTCGACCTCCGATGCCTTCGAAGCGATCTTCTCGTCAAAGCGGCCGCTGAAGAACGAGCCGGAGGACGTCATCTTCACTCTTTCCTCGGCCGTACAGTCGATGGAAACTGGCCCTCAGGGCATGTCAGAGTCCGAAGACCAGTTCCGAAGCTTTAGCGAACAGGACGGTGAACTCCGTATGTTGGATAGCCCCGACGCAAAGATGTCCGTGGAGGAATACACCCGTCGTCTTCGCCCATTCCAGCCTCCTCCCCCGCCCGTCCCCATGGACACATTTGCTGCCGAGACTGCCGAGTCCACCGATGCTCAGATCGACAACGAGTACCAGACCTACTCGACCGTCCTGACTATCCGCGAGGCTCGCCACGCTGACGGCCGCAAGACCTACGAGGCGCACACGGGACCTTTTGTTCGCAGCGGAGAGATGGAGGACCCATCTGATATGCGCGACGAGATCTCCATCGAGGCGCCCTCTGATTCCGCCCCAGGTATGACATACATGGAACGTCTGCGCAACAACCACACCATGCATGCCATTAGCACCATGAGACGGCGTAAGGCCAAGATGAAGAAGCACAAGTTCAAGAAGCTGATGAAGAGAACGCGTACCCTGAGACGGAAACTCGACAAGTAGACTGATACTTGGGGTTTTCTGGTTTACTTTTGTTCGTTCTTTTTCAGTTGCATCTTGCCTGCGCCTGTGCATTTTGGGTCGAGTCTAGTCTTGTGAGAGTTCAGGGCATATATCCTTGTTTTCATACATTTTTCTTATTACTTTCTCGTTCTCCCCTACCTATTCTCTTTCACCTATACTCGGCCAAATATCCACACATACCTCTTCTCCCTTGGTCTTTTTGCTGCGAACTGCTGTACTTGCGCAGAAGTAAATGCAGTATTTGGCTTCTGTGTTATGTGGGCATTATCTCTCCCCATACATTGCGGATAATCCAATAGATCTTGATTACTCGGTTTCTATTACGGCGCTACCTAGGTGCTGCTTTCTCGGACCCGAGTGTCTGTTTTATCTCAGTCAATATGACTACGTAGGTAGCAATAGAGCAGGGTATATCTCGATTTGAGATCATCTCTTGCAAGCTTGCCCACAATATTATAATACCTGGGGAGATCTATACCTCAAGAATTGGTCTATGAGTAACAATACCGTGAGGCTGAATGCACAAATAGAGATTTACTGTTCTACCAGACCAAACACTAGGTGACGAAAGCCACCTGATCAAAAGAATTAAGCAATACCGAGATAGAAGAAATGAATGTCCACAAGGAAGACAAAGGACAAGAAGTAAAGAAACAAGAAACTCCTTACAAAAGATCCTGCCTAACCACCATAATGGGAGAGAGGGCGGAGACTCAAGTCCCGGATCAGCGAATTTCATATAAAGTACAGAGTCCAGCGCGTTTCATGCAATGTAAAGCCAAAAAAAAATCCAATATCTACCTACCCGCACCTGTCCACCGAGTCAAGACGAATGCTTGAACAGTCCGATTCTACATCCACTCCGTCATCGAATCTTCATTCTCAAATAGGCTGAAATCGATTTATCATTTTCCGATATCATCCAATACTGCATCCGCACCAACTTTATCATGTCAGATTCCCCGGCCGAAGAGGCATATTGATTTGCGTCGGGGAAATGTTGAGAATGCACATCCAGGAATGAACCAAGAATCGCGTGGTTGCAGTCCATGGGGCGATTCGAGGTTCGATTCTCGGAATGCGGCGGAGGGCTTTCGTTTAGCAGGATCCTTTCGAGCGGGAGTTCATGAGAAGAGCAACAATCAACCCGTACAGACCTGCGAGGCGAGGGGCACTGGTTAGATGCGATTATACATATTGGTATGGAGAGGAGCCACAACTTACCCAAAACTTCAGCGAAAATGAGAATCAGAATCATTCCGACATATAGTCTAGGCTGTTGAGCCGTTCCACGAACACCCGCGTCACCAACAATACCAATAGCGAAACTGCAATCCGGGTTAGGAACAAGGTTCTAGAACAATGGGGGACACTTCGTGTCGCAAACTTACCCCGCAGCCAGACCGGCCAGACCGACAGACAGACCGGCACCGAGCTGGATGAAACCAGTGTAGAGAGGAAGCTTCTGGGTGAGGTCGTTGGCGACTAGGACCGACACGACAAGACCGTAGATACCAATGATACCCGCCATGACGATGGGGACAATGTCTAGAAACCTGGTCAGCAAATTGTTGCCATATTTTTTTGCACGAGGCTAGGGATATCTCATTGCCAGATTGGCAGAGCTCTTGTTGAGATCGACGTACTCTTAACGATCAGGTCGGGGCGGAGGACGGCCATGGAGCAAACTCCGACACCGGCCTTAGCAGTTCCATATGCGGCACCGAAGCAGGTGAAAACGATAGCGGATGTGCAGCCCAGCGCACCGAAGAAGGGCTAAAGGAAGAAAGATTAGTTATCATTTCGATGCATTGTGAGCAGGTGGATGACGCGGAGGGGCCGAGACACGGGCGATTGGCTTAGTCGTGCTCGAGTGTTGGGATCTAGCATCTAGTAAGACTCACCGCATAGACGGGGCTGTCAAAATCCAAATGTTAGCAAGGCTGATCCATAAATTCCGAAGAATGGCGGGCTCAATAGCAAGGTGAGGTGTTGATTGGAAGCTGTGAAGCACCCAGGGGCTGGAGGTCAGGCTGACGACTTACCAAAGTTCGGTGGCCATTTTGATGAAAGACGACCCGACAAGGTTCTCGTGAAGTAGTTTGAGCTTTGAGAATGAATAAAAACACCCGAGGTCGGCAAGCTCAGTTGGATGCGGTCGGGGAGGATGGAGAGTCCAGAGGCTTGGAGGTCGACGGCAAACATGCTGGCCTCTCTGGGTCACGTGTAATGTCTTGGCATATCCACCCGGACAGGTAATGACTACAGCATATGTGACATGTAGAGATTCAGCTGTGGTTTATTTAGTTGGTTATGTATTGCATTATTGTACATGAATCATTTTGTTTATACAGTTTCGAGAATAACTCGACATCCTGGAATATTCAGCTTTGTGCACGACTCTGATACCATCTCTCCTTTGATGGGTTGGGAGTAGGCAATCGCCTTCTCGGACAATGCTCCAAAGGTATGAGGCAGAGAAATAATCCCATTGCTGTCCTCGTCCGTTTCATGAGTCTCAAATTCCATCGAATCAGCTACCATTCCAAAGTGATAGCTGACAGGCTCTTCCTGCGAGTCATGATTGCTCAAAATTTTGCCCTGTGCCCCAGTCGGTTGTACCGACACAAAGAACTGAATATAATCACCTGCGGTAGCAACCTGTGAAAGTAGAGACAGATCATCTACAGTAATTCCCTCATCAATAGAAGGGAGTGTGTCCAACTGTGCGGTATCAGGATCGAAAACTTGACTCAATGCGACAAGATCGTCTCGATTGGCAGTCCCCGAGAAGCTGACTTCGGGATCCAGCGAAAGAAGGCCTTGCTTCTTTCCCCATCCACCTCCACCACTCATGACACGGTGCAGTTTCCCACCTTGATGCAGAGATTGGATCAAGCGATCCTGGGTAGATGAACCTGAATCGGCCACCTCCAAGTCAGGTTTCTCAACAAGCGCCCATACAGATACACGCTGGTCAACGATATTATGTTCTGCGATATAGCGGGGAAGCTCCTTCTCGAGCTCCGACGAAGCAGGTATTGTGTCCGTCGACGTCGCATCCGTTGATTTTGCCAGTTGCCGTAAAATATTCCCCATGCTAGTCATGACTCTTCGTCGTTCAGTGACTTGATGCAATGGCAATTCCAATGCGGTATCTACGGCCTGGGAAGTTGCCGTAAACATGCAGCTTGTGAGATTGATCGAACTGTCCAAAGAATATCCGTTTGAGGCTTTATCCCAAAGCCAGCGTGTACCAAAGATTGTTGTTTCTCTCCCATTGACGAATATAGTGTTCGCTAGGCGCAATCCAATCTCGTGGGCAGGTCCCTTGCTGGTTTGACCAATCACTTTGGTTTGGAATGAAAACAAGAGATTTGTTTCTTCGCTGGCAGAGCTTCGAATGAGACGGGGCGGTGCAGCCTTTGCCTGGACACCTGATTGTCCTACTGCCAGAAGCGACAGGCCTTCGGACTCGCTTGAATTTGGGCTTTCGGATTTAGTATTTGGGAGTGTGTCAACCACAGCTGCAACGACATAAAGAGTATCACCCCCGGAGGAGTTTCCGTACAGGCGACTGAGAAATTGCGACAAGAAGGGGCTAGAAGAATCAAGCCAGTGGGCGAAGCTTGGGGTAACGAGGAGGAGAGGAACAGAAGCGGACGCAGCTGATGGGCTCACAGGCCCTGAAGGAAGCCTGGACAAAATATCATCTGGGGACTTTTATTGTTTAGCTTGAATACCAAGAGAGCAGAAAGAGTAATTTTGCTCACTGTCTCTTCTGCTGTCTTCGTGAGCCATGTGTATGCAAAAGGCCGCCCACCCTTGGCCAGGTTTTGTGTCGCGTACCATCTATTTGCACGGCAGAGGCTTCCTGGGACTTTGCGTGAGCCTAGAAGCTGCTGGCGTCCGGAATTGAGGGTCACCCTCATCTTTTTGAATCTCAATGACATTGAGATATCAAAATTAAAGCTGGTCCAATTAGGAAAACGCGGAAGTCATTGCGGAGGATAGTGGGTCAGTCGCGGAGCGGAACATCTGTTTTTACTGTACTCCGTATAGAGATCACCAAATATACGAGGAATATAACGCAACTATAACCAGCATATCTCCATTTCAGCCTCCACATATGGCTGTGCTGGTTCCATTGACCCTGCAATATTGAAGGCGTGGCAAATCTTGGAGCTGAGATGCGTAATGGACATTGGCCAGGCAGGAGGGTATCCCGCGCGATTCTGGACAGTCGTGCAGCACATCTTTCTCACAGCGCTTGTCCTGGCGACGGATGTTTTATTCAATCCCAATGCACTAGACTCCGAGGCTCGAAAGGCCAAGGTGCTTGCCGCTTACAAGACGCTAGAAAAGTCGAAAGGGGAATCTGGATCACCGGTCCAGCGGGTTTAGAAGAACATGCAAACGCTGCTATCAAAACTATCAAAGCGGCCCGTACACGAAGTCCACTGGGTGTATGCCTTGCAGGAAATAAGGAACCATTTGTACCCCCTACGGAGTAGCGACTCGCGGAACAAGGTTGAATACATCCATCGACTGGTGGACCCAACGAACCGTCAATGACCAATGAGCGTGGAATCTGACCGTCAACATTGGGGAAGGCTGGCAACAGCTTTAGTCGGAGTTTGTGGCTCGCCAGATCTAGACGTCCCGCAGTGGAACTCCTTGTTGCACGATATTGATTTTGGCTGGAAAATGATGTGTAAACCCGACTTGATCTGTTGACTACGGAGTACAATATATGTAGCAATTTTCCTTCCAAATTTGGTATAGAATGTGAGTACGTTGGTCCCTCGAAGTTTACCTCTTCAGTAATGGTCTCCAGCCACTTTCCTGTTTCAGTGAAGTCATAAGGGGTCAACCACATGCCGATACCAGTCGCCTTGGCAGGTGGGGGGCAAGGGCCATAGGGCTGGCGAGCTGGCTTTTAGCGCCACACACTGTCCAGTAAGTACTTGGCGGACCTAACCAGTAAAGATTCCCACCAAAGTTAAGAAGTGACGGTATTTGTAGAGATCGTCACCGTCATGAGACTTAGGCTGCAGCATGGGCGCATACCTAATATGTACATGAAGTACTTCCATACTGTACAACATATACGGAGTATAAATATAGAAAACAGAAAAGGGAAAAAAAAATTTAGAAAATGCAGGCTAATTCCCAGCGCCAAGCTCCAGGCAGCAAGCAAAAGAATGAACGGGATAGGTGAGAGAACATTGGGGAGTCACAGCCGCCAGCACAGAAGATCATTATCTTGACAACCTTGGACAGGTCTACAATTGTACTCCGAATGAAGTAGTGATTACCAAGTTAAAATTAAAATAAGACACAAAAGATACAAAATTAAAACAATAACGCCTTTCGGTCATAGACTAAGCCACATTTGCAGCCCTGTTGGTGCCTTGATTTTGTTTACAAAACGGTCTAGAGTATGTATTTTTTTTCTCACGAGCCACAGGTGGCGGTCCATGATGTAATGACCCAAAGCTCAGGTCAGGTCCCCTTTTAAGACTTCCCTCCCACCACTTCCATTCCCATTTCTCACCGTTAACATTTCCATCAAATCTACCCAAAATGCCTTTCACCGCTTCGTAAGTTATCTCTTCTAGTCATAGCTTCCACCCTGTCAACCTGTCATTCCATCACCCCCATCACCCCATCATCGCATCTCCTCTCAGGTCGCCGGGGCGCCGGGTTGCCGGGTTGCCATGTCATTTGCGAAAATCTGTCCAGTGTACTAATATTGTCGACAGTGACATCTGCAAGATCATCTTTGCCATTATCCTGCCTCCTCTGGGTGTTTTCCTGGAGCGCGGATGTGGTGCTGATTTCCTGATCAACATCTTATTGACCATTCTGGGATGGATCCCTGGTGTCATCCACGCCATGTATGTGTTTACCTGAAAAGTTTCCAACCCCTTGCGACAGCTACTGACCATATTACAGCTACATTATCTTCAAATACTAGAGATACCCACATCCCACCCGCGCAACCTTCCAAGACTAATACCCCTTGGAAAGCGATGCATTGCGACAAATTTCACATCAGTCCTTTCTCTTGCCTTGCGCTTTGAGTAAGGGTCGGTGCGATTCGATATCCTGCACGCTGGTGTCAGCGTGATTCCGTGGAGGTCCGGTTGAGACTAGCCTAATGCAGCCTCCACCACTTGGCATCGGGTCCGACATAAGTCTGACATGATGTCCATAATCCCTAATCTTTTGTGTGGTCGCATGGTTATGTTTTTTTTTTTTGCTTCTTTTCCTTTGTCTTGCTCGATACTGCGGGTTTTTGCTTTTTCGTTATGAATGATACCAGCTCATACGGTCTGACTCTGGGGCTTTGTGTTTACCAATGCTCGCCGTTGGCTAGTCTTTTATGATCCAAGGGATTTTTACTATAAACCACCAAGTTCCTTGTAACTGTAGGGAAGCATAGATAAGACACTATCGATTGGTTCCTAGGTACATGTACGGAGTCCTACCTACATGTACCTAAGAGTCCCTCGTAACCGGTAAAAGAGCAAACCAAACAAGATTTTGGTCCTAATACAATGAGCCTTGTGGACATCAGCCACGTCTCTATTTGAATAGCTCAAGTGATTGGTGCAAAGCGTTGCATGAGGCGGGTGCAACTACCCCGTAGACTGTTGTACAATCACAGTGTTCCGAGGGCATACCAGGGTAGCTCATCAGCAACTCCCGAAAAAAATACCAAACAGGTAACACGCTAGGGATGAACATGGTTTTGGCCCACCGGATCATCGAGCTTCCCAATCTCTGAGCGAGTCGATGAGTTCTAGCAACCCTCAGATAAATCATCGTCGGTATACCATCTTCAGGAGGAAAACCCGCCACTAAAGCAAAACCAATCACAATACAGCGTTGAATTTCTCAAAACAAGTCACAGTCAATCATCCACTAAATTTGAGGGATCTGAAACTTAGCCTGGCGCCATCCACAACTCGTTCTGCAGCCTAAGCGCTTTCGATGGCCCGGCGCGTATCGGGGACGCTTACTAGGCCCCCCTCCTGACATGGCGCTTTACCACTACAGCGATTCGTCTCTAGTGGGGGGAGCTTACTATTAATGTCATGCTGTTTCACTCTAGCGCCTATACATACATAGCCTCAAGCACTATGTTTCAGAATGATGTTGAAATGCAGATTCTTGACCCCAACGGTCGATGGGCGTCATGGTCACTTTTGCCTCGCGCCTAGAATGGCGTCGTGCTTTGACTTACTGTTTTAACTAGACTGGAGTTCCTCTTGTGGGTGTTTGTTTGGCATTTACTCCTTCTTTCCAGCATTAGATTCTTGCTTCAATACTTTCACGCCATTTGCTATTCAATTCGCAGACACATCTACCAACTATGGTAATCACATATACAAGTTTTCGCGGGTAATCACTCCCATGCAAAAATATACAAGGTTGGTCTATGGGAAAAACATACATGACAGGTTGTCGCTCACAGTGAACGTGTATAGAGCTACCGCAGCATGCTCCTCTTTCCTATCCACAGGATACTCAGCGCGATCCTCCTCTTACTCGCACTCTGCTCTGCCGCCGAAGATACCTCCAGCGATGCATCGAACTCAGCACTGTATGACATGGTCCCAGACTGTGCTAAGGACTGCGTTGATAGCTTTATCAAGTCCGAATACACACCTATGGAATGCAAGTCGCCGTCCAATATCAAGTGCCTTTGCCGCACCACGACAACGAGTGGCTTGACATTGGGGGAAGCGGCTTTGAGCTGCGTTCTGTCTTTATGTTCGCAGACGGTCTCCGCAAAGTCAAAGGCTTATCACATATGCGACTCGGTATCTGAGGCTATTCCGAAAACACACCAGACCATTACCGCAACGATCTTTTCTGATACGAGTACAACGATAACGAGTGATGCAGAAACCACTATAGAAACAACATCAGCTGGCTCCACTTCAACAACTGAATACACTTCTGAGGCCTCTGTGGCAACATCTACAGCGACATCGCCACCAGTACTGGCATCGACGCCGACGCCGACGTCAACTACTTCTAGTCAAACATCCGAGATCACATTCTATGATTCTTCTTCATCTTCAGGGTCTCAAGTGGAACCAACATCCTCTACTGGACAAATTTCCAGTGACTCTTCTGAAGATACGAATAAGAAAGGTGACCATGCTATTACTCCAGCGGCAGTCATTGGAATGTCAGTAGCATCAGGTGTGGCGGGATCTTTTATCATCGTCGTTGCTGTGTTTTTCTGCTGCAAGAGATGGCGACAAAAACACCGGGAACAGGCACCGCCACACATTTTTGAGATCGGAGGCGCCATGTCTGAGCCTTCTGACTTTTCGAAACCGATGCCACCACTCCCAACAAACGGTTTGGGTTTAAGGTCTTCATACAGCCCAACGAGTGACCGTGAGACAATGTTACAGCGACCGGGTACTTTCCATTCAATAGCCACCGCTCAACCACCATCACGATACACGCCTCAATCCGCTACGGTATATCATTCGGGTCAGAGCAAAGGACCTAGAGACCAAGAACGGATAGGGTTTGCCTTTAGCTCCGACTCGGACTGGGAAACTTCGCCTCGGACACAATCTTCACAGCACAGTGTAGCACGACTACTGCCAGACCCTGCAGCTGGACTATTCCCAAAGCCGCTGAAGTGGAGTCATCGGCCACCTAGTGGAGCTACTCTCTTTGAAGAAGACGAAAGTCAACAAGCGGCGGCAGGAATGGTGCAAAATAACTCCCCAAGGCTAGGGATCCGGCCGAACCTCACAGGACTGCCATCTAATCCACGCGCATTCAAAGATGGATTCCCAGCAGGGACATTCAAACGAAGATCCGGGGCCCCGAGTACCTTAGCACCCCCATTCAATCCCAACCCAGGCTTCAGAACCTCCTCATCAGACAGCAGCGCTGCACCCAACCGAATTTCCGAAACCTCACAAACCGCCTATTCCTTCAACCCAAACACCCTTCTCGCCGCCCCTGTCAACACCACCCAGACCCAAACTCAGAACCGCAGCCTGTCACCAGGACGACAGGCGCCTCAACCCTACCCCGCCCCATCATCAACAACCCTCCCCCTAGGCTCGGAGATAGTATCCAGGCCACGGATCGTACGGGGGAATGACATCAAACGTGTCCAGATCCGCAACAGTCCACGACCGCCTAGCGAAGTCATTGCACCATACTGTCCAGATGACTTGTGGCTGGAACGTGGACGCGCTCTCGCGCCGCCGAGATCCCGAGAGCCGTCTGGGGAATTGCCGTATCCTTCAGATATGTATCCCGGTGTTATGCATTATCCTGATAGTCCGAAGAAGAAAGTCGCTGCTGTGTCGAATCGGATTTCTCCTACTAGTCGGAATTTGACGCCGTCAAGGAGGGGCGATGATTTGATTCTTCGTGTTGATTAATATATTCATTTTCTTGGGGCTGTGGGATTTATGAGAATTTGCTTTTGTTGTATATTACCTATGATACGGGTGGAGAGCTTTGAATTTTGTTTATGAAAATATATGTATAGAAATTTTGCTAACCTGCATTAAAGATTTGGCTCATATTAATAGCTTCTATCTTAGCTTTCTTCAATTCTGTATTTCTTCACACCTCAAAAAGCAGTTCGAAAAAGAAGATAAAGAGAAGCTAAGAAACGCGAAAACGCGTCGAGCGTACCTCGAGCATTGGCGGGGCTTAGATAAGAACCTGGGGTCCCGCCAAAAAGAGTAGAAAACCCATCACATTTGAACATCTTTTACATCCCAATCTTCCATCTAATTCGGACTTCATCCATTCCTGTTGGCAATGGCTTCAACGCAGACGTTCGTCCAAAGATGTACAATACTGCCGGTCTTTCCTCTGGAGCTTTGGGATATCATCATCGAATACCTACACGATGAAGAATCTGCCCAACATCTGAGCCGACTTGCTCAATCATGTGCTACTCTTTATGAAAGAATTAACTCTAAACTCTACAACCGTGTCCGCCTGTTCAATTCAGAAAGCGGTGCTCGCCTTGCTCTCACCATAGAGAAGCGTCCAGAGTTAGCACCACTCATCCGTGAGATTCGACACAAGCAGGATTCTGGGTCAGAATTCTGGTCCTACCGTCATCTCAAATTTTACAAAGCGGCTGCGGCTTTGCCGAATCTGGAGAACTTGAGTTTAAGAAGAAACCCCAGGCCCTTTGATTCTACTCGGTGGGCCAGTACCCATGCTAGAGATGATGCTATGTTGCAATGGGTAAGAAAGGTTGCCTCTGGATCAGGGAGCGTTAAAGAGTACCGAGAGTTGGGATATGGGCCTTCAGGAGAATCGTCGTTCAGTCCTCCAGATCGCGAGCTTACCTACATGCGAGACGGGGCGGCGGAGACTTTATTCGTGCACGCTTCTCTTTCAGACCCGCCGGGGTTGCCCGCTCTGCGTGTTTGTGAGTCTGATAACTGACCTTCTCCACTGAATCGAAAATCTAATGTTTATCAGGTCACATCGGAAGCGACTATAATCATGACGAGCACAATCCCAAGATGGACGGCAGATGCCTACCAGTTTTCAATGAAGCACTATTCAGTCATCCAGGTTTACGAAAACTCTGTGTCACTGGTGCTACATTCCAACTTTCTCAGTCTAGCCCTCCAGTAATAACCATGTCGTCGCCTCTGGAGGAACTGACTCTTTTGAACTGCATTATAAACCCGTTGGACCTCGAAACAGCACTCGAGTATCCAAAAGCCTTGAAACGGTTCACATTCAGAGGTCCTAGGTCACAGGATATGGTAGACCCTGACGGAGAACCCCTATGTTACGTTCACTCGACACTCGTACATGAAGATTCCCTGGAATACATGGATTACGATCTTTACTGGGGCGGTGATGAGGAGACAGACTTCGGCGAACTAGTCCGCCTTAAGCATCTCACAACCACCCTCGCCACACTTACAGGGAGGGAATGCATGGAACTGGATCCCGTTGATGATATTCTGCCGCCGAATCTCGAGAGTCTCACGATACGATATGATGAAGTGAAGTCATGGCTTCCTTCGGCTATCTATGAGATGGTGAAAGATAAAAAACTCGCAAAGCTGCGTCGCTTTACCTGCGAGGTACCCGAAACTATAGAGCACCTTCCATCAATCAATGAAGACAAGACGAACCCCCGCGCCACCGAGATATGTCAGGAGGGCAACACCTGGAAAAGCAAGTTTGCGGAGCTGAATGTGGAGCTGTCCATGGTCTCCGTTCCTTACCCGCTTGAGCTGCCAAAATACGACATTTGTTCTTGCGAATGCCTGTCCTTTTACCACCGGATGTTCTACCATCCGCGCAAACCACTGGCAACTCCTTGGGACGAAAACGACTTGGAGGAGGACGTGTTCTTTGATGACTGGGCAGATGTTGATGATGAAATTGATCTTGATGTTCTTATGGATGATCTTGCGGAGGAGTCTGGATCTGATGCCTCGGCTTGAGGGCTTTATTTAAAAGAAATACGGGGTTCGGTGCATAAGAGCTCTTATGTCTTACGCGAGTATCCATATCAAGTTTCAGCATAACATGCTTCCATGTGTGGGAATGAATTAAATGTCTCAGCGGTCCTCTTACAAACCAATTAATTTATAACAAATCCTGTATATATTCCAGAGGAAGATGTGATTGGTCCTGTGGAAGTTTCCACTAATTGTGTAGATAGCATAAGATCGACAGGAGGATAAGAACTATACAACGTAGCTCAAAAGCAGCCCAGTGGAGAAGCCAACAGGGTTCTTCCCCAGATTCTGTCGATCTTTATGTGTCGGCAGATATATCTCTGGGTCAAGATCCCTTTCGCTTATTTCTGTCTTCATGGGACCCCTTGTCAAGAACTTCGTTCCAGCCCCTTCCAACACCTTACTTAGGCAACAAGGCATTCGTCAGGAAAAAAGGAAAATTGGGTTTCAACTTGGTTGTGAAAACCATCCAAGGTCCACTCATCTTAACCCAACGACACTCGCCTGCCTATCGTGATTGTGACCATTCCTCTTCAACAATGCAGGTCCACAGACTGTGCCCAGACCAAAGCCAAAAGTCAACAATCTAACTTCCGTTCTCATACAAATCACCCGGGTGCAAGGTTCACCACACGGGCCTTCCGCAGACACCCGCGTGTAACGCCAGCCCTAGAATCTGTCCCGTCTAGCTTTCACCCCTTGATCAAGGACTGAATACATCGCCTAAGGATACTCGCAAGCTTGCAGCGCGCAGGATCTTGTGATCAGATAAGGCCTTTAACAGAGTTCACGGTATGCATGCACCGTGACACTCTGACTAAGACTGGCAGATATCCCGCATACTATAAGTTCACCTGGGTTTAGGGCATGAAAATGTTCATTGCACAGCTTCTGCTCTTGGCCACTACTTTTTTTTTTTTATGTGTATGAAGAAATTTTCATAGGACACCTTATCCAAACTACCTTTGGTTGTGGCTCCGAGAGCATTCCTCTTAAAGCTGCATGTTGGCCCGAGGTCGTATCAGCATGCGCCAACATGTCTGGTCTAGGCCCTATTATTCCTACACTTCATAGATTATATCATGATCTTTATGATAGGGCATAGATCCTTGGTTCTTAATTTGCTGGTTTTGATATATATATGTTCCTGATAATGATGTTCAGGTTCATGACGTCAATGGCCCTGATGTCGCGGATACTTGCGCGCTTTTCGACGCGACTCCGGAAGAGGCGCTTTTTACTTCGTAACTTGGATATTGTAAAGGCTTGAAGCAGTCCTGTCAAATCCTACCAACTCCTGCCAACTCCTGCCATCATCATTGGTGATTAAACCGGAAATCCCTCTACACTTCAACCTCCCGAGAACTCCACTTTCTAGATTCAAAGCGCTCTTCTTATCAAATCAGCGTCCCCAACCCGATGCGCTGGGTTCCATGCGCCAAGGATATGCCGTGGATGATCCCTTTCGATTTCAGATGCTTTGGGCTTGCTTTTTGACCCAGAATGACGAGGCCTGAGCCTGAGGTGTGGAACCCCATTTTGGGCGGGTAACAGGGTCGATGATGCAAAAAAAACCCACTCCGTTTGGGCCTATATTAATGGCTCTTGGTCTCCCTCCAAACCATTTCGATTCCATTTGCACTTTTATCTGCTTTGATACTGCAGCCTACACAAAGCAACTGCCTGCACCTCACAAGTATCAAAATTATTGTGTCCAGTTTGTAAGAGACAAAGTAATTATACGCATCAAGGCAGCGATCACCGTCATCGTACCCGCAAGCCCCACACCCTTCATCACAATGGCCACAAATAATAATAGATACGGACTTCAAAGAGTCCGACTTGACCTGGACACCGCTCGGGCCGATCTTTATGGCCCCAATCTTATTGTCCCTAGGGACTTGGTGCCTTCTGCTTCTGACCCTATCTTCAACTCCGACATGACCAAGCACGAAGAAGTCTCATCAACGGATACCTCACCAATCAACACACCTATGCCACACCCTCCTCAGGTTACTAGTGATGATTTTGCACTAGCCTTCGACATCGATGGCGTTCTCATCAAGGGTGGCGAGCCCATTCCTTCAGCCGTTGATGCCATGAAGTATATCAACGGTGAGAACGAATATGGGTGCAAAGTGTGAGTGTTTTACCTATGTGTTATTCTTATTTCATGACATGAATTTCATGTTTAACCCCTCACCCCGGAGTGAGGGGTAACTATTGCCAATATAGAAGAATTTGAATCTAACAATATCCTAGTCCTTATATTTTCTTGACCAACGGCGGCGGCAAGACAGAGAAAGAGCGATGCCTCGATCTCAGCAGGCAACTCGACCTGAACGTCGACCCTGGTCAGTTCATCTGTGGCCATACCCCCATGCGCGACATGGCAGAGCGATACCACACCGTCCTGGTAGTTGGTGGCGAGGGTGAAAAATGCCGCGTTGTGGCTGAAGGATACGGATTCAAGGATGTTATCACACCCGGAGATATCATCAAGACGAGACACGATACTACGCCGTTCCGAAAGTTGACGGATGAGGAGCACGGTAATTCCCGACTACTCGATCTAGACAAGGTCCGCATCGAAGCGATCTTCGTCTTTGCAGATAGTCGCGACTGGGCCGGCGACCAGCAAATCATTTTGGACTGCCTCATGACCAAAGACGGCTGGTTGAATACACGGTCGGAGACCTTTACCGAAGGTCCACCGGTTTTCTTCTCGCACACAGATGTGGTTTGGTCAACATCGCATGAACATTCACGTCTTGGAATGGGAGCGCTGCGCGCTTCCCTCGAGGCTGTTTACACGGCTCTCACAGGCAAAGACCTCAACACCGTCGCCTTCGGCAAGCCGCAAATCGGAACCTATGAATTTGCCACCCGACTTCTACAAAAGTGGCGAAAGGACTCGTGTGGAATCGACAAGTCTCCGTCTACTGTATACTTCATCGGCGATACTCCGGAGTCCGACATCCGCGGTACAAATGAATTCAACAAGACCACGGAAAACGACTGGTTCTCGATCTTGGTTAAGACTGGAGTCTACCAGGATGGTGCTGTCCCACGATACCCACCCCGGAAGACATGCGACAATGTTTTTGATGCCGTCAAATTTGCTATTGAACGCGAGCACCGAAAGACCTCCAAGGGCACAACTGTTTCCGAGCTCGACTTTGACACAAGCCAAGAAGTTCCCAATTAAGCAGATCTCACTATGATGTGATCTTCTTTCGCTCATGACTGCTTCGCGTCCAATCTAGTCCATTCCTACGTTTTCTTAATGACCTGTCAGATATGATTCCCAGTTCTCTTGAACTTCTGCATTTTACGATTCATGGCACAGGTTCTTTTTACATAGACAGTTCCAATATGGGTTAGATATCTTCCAGCACCCGGAACCACTGAATGAATTCTACAATGATTAATGACAAGAGTAGACGGCCATGTGTAGTCTTTTTAGTGATCGCAGATATGCTGTTTAGATGTCTGTTTTTTTTTCTCCTGCAGTAGATTCAAATGTTCATAGCCAACCGATAACGAGTTAGTTAACTTGTAGTTATCCACGAGGAGATATGTTAGAAGCCTGAATATTGAGGCGCTCCGCCCTGTGGTCGACATGACCCACCAGAAGGGAAAGCCATCACAAACAGAATCTCTCCCTAAACAGTATATGCATATTCCTTAGCGCAAACGCAGCACCAGGTAACAATAATGGTACGAACCCCCTGGTTTTAACCCAAAATACCATCACTCATGCGCGAACTCAGGTCTCCAGAACAGAGGCAGTGTACCTTGATGATGCCACGCTGCGGACATTGACCACGGAAGTTCTATCCTCCCAGTCAATACCTTCGCTCTCTGAAGAGGAAAGAATCTTAGCCAAAAATGTGCCCGCAGAATATAATGCAATCACCATGCACCGGACTATCTTTTACGCACAAGGTGGCGGACAGCCCAGCGACACCGGCGCAATTGGACCAGTAGACCAAGATCCCATATTTGAAGTCTCACTGGTACGCAAGACGCCCGACGGACGGTTCTTGCATTTTGGAAAATTCCTAGACGCGGCCTCTTCCTTCGTCACAGGCCAGCCTGTCGTGCAGAAGGTCGATGACTCAAAGCGCAACTACCATTCCCGGCTCCATACAGCTGGTCACATCGTTGGGTTGGCCATGCAGCTTCTGATGCCGGATAAGAAAAAGGTCAAGGCGAATCATTTCCCCAGGGAAGCTTCTATGGAGTATGAGGGTTTGCTGTATAATGAGCACAAGCCGGTTATCCAGGAGAAGGTCGATGAGCTTGTACGACTGGATCTGCCCATCCTCATTTCCTGGCTGCAGGGTGTCGTGCAAGCTGGGAATGGGGAGGGTGCTGAAGAAGGTCGTTCCCATGATGGTCGTACTCGAATTGCGAGTATAGGTGGGCTCGATCACAATCCTTGTGGTGGTACTCATGTTGCGAGGACGAGCTTGGTTGGGTCTGTTGTTATTCGCAAGATCAGTCGGCAAAAGGGGATCAGTCGGGTATCTTATGATGTTTCTCCGGGGATTGCGGTATAGCTTTGAATTTGCTTGTCATTATGGTCATATAAAAGAATCCGAGAATCAGTGGGTGGAGTGTTGAGACTATAAATACATGCTCTAACGCTGGAGAAATGCTTTATGTTTAATAAGGAAATCATAACGCGAACTCATTGTCCAACCAATGCTTCATCACGACCTTGCCCTCTCGGAACCCATCCTTCTCGGCCCGGACGATGATAGCTGCGTGGCTGTGGTGGTGCTTTTGTATGTGGACAGGATATTTCCGAATTCCAACAGCATTGAGGGAATCGATTATGCCAAATTGTTCATGGGTTAAAGCAAGCTTAGGGGAATGTGTCGAGACCTCCGTCGTTGATGAACGTCTAGCCGATGCAGACTCAGCATCGACATCGTTTCGAGCAGACTTCGAGACAGACGATCTAGTGGACTTCTCACGCGCCGTGTCAGACACCTCAGTATCGCTGTTGGACAAATAAGCTGGTTCTTGAATAGCATTGACGTTCTCAAAGGCCTGCTCCACGGCATGCTGAACGTCTTGGATCAAAACCGGCACTCTGTATCTTCCAAAGCGGTCGCCATTTTCGCCAACTTCATGCATACGAATGCGCTTTGAGCTGCGGAATGTTTGGATCCCGGCATTTATCAAGAAGAGTGTACATGCCAGAGGCGCGAGAACAATGATTAGGAGTGACAGAGGTATCCAAATGGTTGCCGATTTCAATTTCTTCCAGAATCGCGCTGCTGCAATTGCAGGTTTTCTCTCCGCCGGAGGAAGCACATGAAGGTCGGGATCGATAATGACATCTTCATAACCCTCGACGTAGTTGATATTCAGGTCTTCCAGATCCCGGAATGGGTCCACTTTAGAGAGACCAGATGTGTAGAAGAGAACTGAGCGGTCATTGACGATATTCGCATACACACTCCGCTGCCGGAACTTCTTCAGTCCAGTTATGAAAATGCTCTCCGGATCAGCCAGAACACCGAGCAGTGGTCGCCCGGTATCTCGGAAGGAATCGACCAACCACATTTGGCGGCCAGATGCCGAGATCGTCTTCGGCCCTAGAACATTGAAAATCTGATCCTTGTACCCTTTCAGCGGGGCTCTCACTCCAACATGTGGCGTGGCAAAGGTCGTGAAGTTCATGGGTTCCAGCTTATCCAGCCAGCCCCGCGCATTGAGCAAGCCGATCGCATAGCGCGCGAGCAGACCACCAAGCGAATATCCAATCACACTTATTTTTGTGATCTTTTGTCCCTTCTCGGCTAGGGATTCAAGTGTCTCCTCGACCTCGTGCACTAATCGTTCTCCGCCCAACTCGATTCCATCGTAGGTATAGTTGCCGCTATTTGCTTTCGGGCAGAGGATGTAGAGGTCACTGCCATATCTTTTTCTCAGCGCGGATGCGATATAATCAAGGTGCGAAGGATTTCCCCAAAGTCTATGAAGATTTGTTGCATTAGCGGGCTTATCAATACGTCATTGGTAAGGGGAAAGTAGCATACCCATGAACCAAAACACAGAGGTGGTTGGCTTTGGAGGTATCCGGCGTTGTTTCACTTATTGATTCCATCTTTGAGAATGGAAATGATTCCAAGGGGAAAGAAAAAGGAGCATACCTACGGAGTATTTAACACGCGGATGTCTGTTCACCCGAAGGCCGCGCATCTGCGTCAGCCCTGGAGCTATCGGCGATAAGGGACTTCCATGCCAGGCGAATTCTCGAAGTACCAACATATATCTATATGTAGATCCGTATGTGTTCATTGTCAGAGATTAGGAGCCCTCAATCACACCGAGCAGAACCATGAATCAATAGGAAATGATATCAGATACAGACCCTAGTTAGTTACGTGTTTCTGCCTGCAATATTAGGCATGTGTTTGTCTTCTTTGCATTGACTTATCACTTCGCTGAACAGCTTCCAATAATGTTGTCCTCTAGTGATGTCAATCTGATCTCTTATCCCTTCAAATCTGCTTTCTACCTTAAGCTCCAGTTGCCTTGTTTGGGATCACGCAGCTTGGCACATTTTTAATGGTCTTCGCCACAAGCAAGCCCTGAATGATGCAATAGCATTACTTGCAATATTCGTTTCGGTCTATTCGGTGCACAAACAAACACAAAAGGGTCGATAGGCACGATAGCCATACATATTAATTATGTATTTCTAAAAATTGTGATCGACTTTGACTAGCTCTTGCATTTAAGACCTGGATATTTACATCTTAACCTGTCTTCTCATCTGGTCATCATTCATCATGTTCACATCGCTCGGCCTTTTTGGGGCAATTCCATGCCCGCAAGGCAAGGATTGCACTCTTTTGAAATGCATATTCTCTCATGATAATGAGCCGACCCCAGCTGAGGCTCAGCCTTTGAAGATTCCAGCGTCAGGTGACGATGGTCCTCCTTCTAAACGGGTCAAAGTGGAAAGCACACAGTTACCGGGGTCCCCCATTCCATCTTGCAACTTAAAAGAATCATCCCTCGAAATGGGACGGCGGTCATCGAAACCAGTCGCTTCCAAGCAAGATCAAAATACACAAGATACCTCAAGAGCTCAAGAAGCCGCCCAGCCTACCTCAAGCCATGGCCCACCAAACCCTTCGGGGAGCGAGCCTGTGAAGCGCACTAATACATCCGTTGGATCTTCATCACAGCTCCCTCCGCGCAAAGCTCCGAAAGAAACGTTGAATCCTCGCATGCTTGCCCATGCACCGGCAACTCATGGCAGTCGGACTGCTATTCTCCAGAAGCTGCACTCCGCCATGACTGCTCTCAATGAAAAGCTACGAAAAGACAAGAATATCTCGAATAGGTGTTTCATCCTAACCCCCGATGAACTCGTCACAATGGCTCTGGACGAGGAAGAAAAATTCGCCAGGGACAGTCCAACCGTTTACGGCAATGTTATCAAACTTCGAATCGTGAGAGTTACGAAGATGGGCATTGACGAATGGGTCAAGGAGGTGATGTCTCATCTGAATGCGCGATACTATAAGATAAATCCCGTCCAAAAGCCACAGGCGATGCCCATGCCTATCAACACAGGCCTCACTCCCGCAGAAGAAATCACAGTTGTATCCCAGCTAGTCACGCCCCTCACTGGCCTCGAAGATCATGGATATGTCACAAAACAGCCCACGAAGGCAGAGATGGAAACCGCCAAGAGAGGTGTTGACGAGTCCAAGGGCTGGGAAAAGTGTGACAGGTGCAGTCAACGATTCCAGGTATTCCCAGGTCGTCGCGATGATGGTGCCCTGGCCAGCGGCGGCTACTGCGACTATCATCCAGGACGGCCCGTTTACCCTCAGCGCAAGAGAACAGACCATGTCACCGGTCCCTCCCAGCCATACTTTCCCTGCTGCAGCGAAGCATTGGGGACGTCTACAGGCTGCACCAGAGCCAATACACATGTCTTCAAGGTCTCAGAGACCAAGCGACTTGCATCCATCCTCCAATTTCAGACAACCCCATCGCAGCCAGGAAAGGGACCACTGGAACCGGTCTCTATTGATTGCGAGATGGGCTACACAACATTGGGTCTCGAACTGATTCGTCTCACTGCAGTCAGCTGGCCTAAAGGCGGTGATCTCCTTGATGTGCTGGTCCGGCCTATGGGCGAGGTGTTAGATCTCAACACACGCTTTTCCGGTGTCACATCACAACACTATGCTTCCGCCAAGCCATATGGCACTCCAATTCCCAGCATATCTTCACCATCGGCAGACGAGAAAAAGAAAACCAACCCACCCCTGCAACTTGTTCAGTCACCAGCGGAGGCGCGCGACCTGCTTCTGAAGCTCCTCCAGCCCGAGACACCTCTCATCGGCCATGCAATCGACAACGACCTCAACGCTTGCCGTATCATCCACCCTACCGTCATTGACACCGTCCTTCTGTACCCCCACCCCAAGGGTCTCCCTATTCGTCTAAGTCTCAAGGCCCTTGCTCAAAGACACCTTGGCCGTGACATCCAGGTCGGGGACAATGGACACGACTCAAAGGAGGATTCAATTGCTACAGGTGATCTTGTGAGAGTGAAAGTGGGTGAGAAATGGAAAGCGCTGAAGAAGAATGGACATAAAATCGAGGGGGGCAAGTTGGTCCATCCGGGTGGCGGCCGAGTATCAACTGTCACATCTTCATGGACAATGGTCCAGAAGAGAAAGCCCAGCAGATGATCGCGGGACATGTATTCCTCATTCCCATCTCATGCATTTTGTTTTTCACTTTTTGTATACGATACCCATTTATGTGCAATCAACGTACAGTTTACAATTTACATTATTATTACGCAGGAATAATATGAGGGTATAAACTTTTTTAGTTTTATTCGTGGCCTCATAGACCAATCTTATCCCCCCATGGCTCTCGCTCTCAATCCAGACAGACGTTCCAAGCGCGACACACACAAGACTAGAACCGATCGATCAACGGGGCAAAGAAACAATACATGTCAGGAGCGACACGCTTATTCCTCATCCTCCTCAGCCTCGTCGTTAACGACGTTGTAGAAGCGGAGCTCGTAGACACCCTTGGAGGTGGAGACGACACGGAGCCAGTCACGGAGCTGCTGCTTCTTGAGGTACTTCTTGGTGCTGAGTTGCAGAAAAGGCAATGGTCAACAAAACTGTAGTCCAACGTATTGGGGATAATCCCGGGGGAAAAGACAAACTCACAGGTACTTCAGGTAGCGGCCGGAGAAGGGGATGTGGGCAACAACCTCGATCTTGCCATCGCCGGACTGGGAGATGACGACGTTCTCGCCAAGGTTACCGACACGGCCCTCGACCTTGATGCGGTCGTGGAGGAACTTCTCGAAGGCGGAGACATCGAAGATCTTGTCGCTAGCAGGCTGGGAAGCGTTGATAACGAACTTCTGGGTAACCTTCTGGGCCTTGCGACCACGAGCCTATACCACATAAAATCAAATTAGCCTACTGCTCCATAATGTCGAGCCCCGGTGGTAATCTCGCGGATTCGTCTTCGACATGGGAGACTCGATAGATTTTTCAATACCGAGTTTCACAGTCCTGTCGAAGACGAGCCCGCAGAGACTCCGGTGGGGGGAACAGCAAAGCGATTTGGACTTCAACGTACAGCAGCGGGAGCCATTGTTAATGGATTGGGGGGGATGGATTTTGGAGGATTGGGAAAGGTCGCAAAGAGGTGAATATCCTGCGCCGACGAGAGAGTGGTCAAGACAACTTCCTAAATTTCACGGTGGAGCCGATTTGGTTATCAAAAATTCACGGCCAGAGGTGTGTCGCACTAGGCTGGATTGGGACATAGGGTAGGGCAAAAGGGTTGATGAGTCAGCTGAATGAGTCATCACATCGCTTAGGCCCGGGGTTATTCGCTATCTCCGATTGGCTCGGCTAATCACGCGCGGGCATGGACCCACCGCCCTGAGGGTATATAATGGTCCCCCCCCCCAGAACTTCCTCTTCTTTTTTTCTTCTTCAGCTCTCTTTGCCTATTGGCTTAGATCAAGTGTAGTATCTGTTCTTTTCAGTTTAATCTCTGAAAGTTTCCGTCCAGGAAACACTTTGATTATTCCTATTTTTGGACCCCGCGACTTGGCCCCTGTGCTTGCGCATGCCTCGTTGCACAGTGTCATTGGGCTTACACTACCCCCGATCGACGCGAACTCCTTTTTCATCAACTGTTCGACTTGTTCGGGCGCTTGGAGAAGAAAGATGTTTGTTCAAAATCAGCCTCCCTTAGCAACTTAAGTATCTTAAGTCGTATTCCAGCTGGCCCTTGATGCCCCCGATCCCGTAGCTTCCTGGTCCACTGGTCACAGACCGTAGGTCGCGTCCTATAATGTACTTCTCGGTCGGATAGCAGGATGAGACGCGCATGAGAGGCCATCCACAATACATTAACACCTTCCAATATGACACTGGCCAATAGACCAAGCACTTTGATAACGCATTGCTATACAGATACCCTAGCCGTCACGTATATCATAGATTGTAGATCACATCCTACGATGTATACTTTTTGATCAGATACCGAGGTGAGGGCTTGGATGAGAGATCATCCACAACTTCATCGCTGTGATGTTTCCAACGCTACACACTGAGTGATACACTGAGAAACAGACCAAGCAGTCTAGACAACTCGTCACCACTATGTACTCTGTAATACAGCTAGATGGGTCACATGACGCGACAGCTTCGATCGCGGGGACCCAATCGATAAGCCTTCCTTTTTTTCCCACTCCGCATACTCCAATCTGTCGACACAAAACCAGCCGTCGCAATGGGTTCTATCGTTCTCCCTCATTTGCAAACAGCCTGGCATGTGGATCAGGCTATTCTCTCTGAAGAAGAACGCCTGGTGGTGATCCGATTCGGGCGCGACCACGATCCCGACTGTGAGTGCCACCCGCATCCATTCGCAGGGTCCCAGACTAACCCACTCTCCTAGGTATCCGCCAAGATGAGCTTCTCTACAAGATCGCCGAGCGAGTAAAGAGTGAGTGACCGAGACACCCAAAGGAAATCGAACAGCAGCTAACAGGCCTACTCCCAGACTTCGCCGTCATTTACCTATGCGATCTCGACCAAGTCCCAGACTTCAACCAGATGTACGAGCTTTACGACCGGATGACGATCATGTTCTTCTATCGCAACAAGCACATGATGTGCGACTTCGGCACGGGAAACAACAACAAGTTGAACTGGGTGCTGGAGGACAAGCAGGAGTTGATCGACATCATCGAGACGATATACAAGGGCGCCAAGAAGGGTCGTGGTCTGGTGGTCAGCCCCAAAGGTACATTCAGTCTCCGTTCTGGTATAGAAACACCATTTGCTAACAGCCGGTTTTTACAGATTACTCGACCAGATACCGATACTAAGCATTGCCTCCCTCGCTGCGTGATCACCCTGGCACCGGCCAGTGTGTGTATCGCTTCCTTACGACATTTACGACGATCACTAGACTTGATCTGGCAACAATAAAACCTGCAAATATGGTCATGGTTCTGGAGTTTTTTGTTTCTGGGGAGGAGTCGCCTTTGCAGTCGTTTTGATTGGGGGTGAACAGTGAACACAAGTCACATACAAGCCTCAGTTTTTGAGATCCAAATCACTTAATATGCAACTGAGAATACCTACCTATTCAACAGCTCTATCAATCATTCCGTGACTGGTAGCTGTAGGCCAGTGTCGTAAATCGTAGTGAGGGCCTTGTATGACCTTCATTTGTAGGAAAGTTCATCTTCAAAAAGTAAAATACATTTCAGGAAGCGATATCACAGCTCATCATATAACTTTCAATTTAAACAAGGAATTGTGGCGTGTTGCGCAAGCTATCCTCTTTTTTTAACATGGATTTTGACGTAACGCACTTCCAACACCACACCTCGCAGATCTGCCTTCAATTCTCTCAAATACCTATCTACAACCACAACCAAGCAACACGATGATTGACCAACGCATTTTCGAGAATCTTCAGACGAAGATCGACGAGGAGACCACCGTCCGAGATGTAAGTGATACCAACGCGTCCTGAGCTTGGTGAATTCTTCGCGCGCCAAGCCTACACCGGAACAAGATCCTTGAGCCAGGAACATCGACATTTAGCTAACGATTCTGGATAGGAGCTACATGAGATTGTCCAAACACTCGCCAGAAGAGGTATGCTCTGCAACTCATGACTTTGTTCAGGACTTCTAGGGTGTCCGCCCTGCCGGGGACGGCACTCCCGGATTGAAGTCACAGGTCGAACATGAAAACTGATATTGATTGATACAGGACGTTCCACACAGGCTATCCTGTCGCGGGCTCATTCCACGCCTGCTGATCAGCGTAAGTATCTATCATTCATCGCAAGTGATATGGCCAGATGATTGGGGTATAATTCCATTCGATCTTTGGCCTCACTGCCTGATCCCTCCTCTTTTCTGTCTCTTTTCCTCGCCGCATAACCGTCGAATTCCTACACTGATCTCCCAGGCAGCGTTCCATGCTATTCTTCTATTTCTCATGAACCATCTTGCTGACTTCTACAATAGTGAAGCCTGTGCTTGACGATGTCACCAAGGAAATTCTTGCCCAAAAGCAAGAGGTTGCTCGCCTGAAGGCCGTGGCAGACCAACATCCCTTCTACAAGTACAATGGGCTATGGACCCGTGAGCTGCAAAATCTGGTTTGTTTTCTGACATTCAATATTCGAAGACTTCTGCTAATCCAATCTATCAGGTCGCCTCTATTGAGCTTTGCGCATGGCTAGGAGGACTCCAAGAGCACAAGGGACCTAGCTCAACATCTTTTATGACCATCGAGGATGTGGGCAAGTTCCTGAACAGTACGTTTTGCTATCTCTATCTATGATAAGCATCACGGGTGCTGTATACGTACATCAATGTCCAATACTAACTAGCCTTCTTTCATTAGTTCCTGTCAACCTTAAGGAGCAGGATGCCTTCCACTTGACGATTGAGGAGTACTTGCTGGCAGTGATTGCCATGGTTGAGGAATTGGTTCGTTTCCCGAAATCTCAGAGCTTCCCTGTCTGGCCACAGCTAATTTCTTCCCAGGCTCGCTTGGCTGTCAACTCAGTCACCCTGGGTGACTACACCCGTCCCATGCAGATTGGCAACTTTGTCAAGGAAGTTTTCGCTGGATTCCAGCTCTTGAACTTGAAGAACGATATCCTGCGCAAGCGCAGCGACGGTATCAAGTACAGCGTATGTTGAAATCATTGCAACGTCTATTTCGCTGTCTTAATTTTCTAATTTGTGTGGCACTATAGGTCAAGAAGGTCGAGGATGTGGTCTACGATCTATCGCTACGGAACCTAGTCCCCAAGGGTGGTTCCTCTGCTTAAATTTAGACGTCAGGGACTCTCGGGCATACCGAGTCTGGCCTCATGTTACGCGGAAATGGATATAGATCCAAGGAACTGATCTAGCGACTATTACTAAATTGGCATCTTTGGTACTGGAACATGAATTACTATTACCACTCGGTAAAATTCCCATCGTAGACCGAAATCGTGAACCGAAAAGGACGAGTAGAGTATGTCACAAGCAGAAGCAGCGGGATATAGATACAATAAAACAGATGAAGGTTTCGCCACAATTATTCAGAAAAGAACAGCTCAAGCACAGCCTTACGACAACTTGGCCTGCTCGGCACCAGCCTCATTCTTCTTAAGCGAAGCAAGAGTGCCCTCCTTCTTGGCCTTCTCGATCTCCTGAACAATAGTATCCTTAAGTCCCTCGGGCTTGGTAAGGGAAGCCCAGCGACCAACAACCTTTCCATCGGCGGAAACAAGGAACTTCTCAAAGTTCCACTTAACGCGCTTCATGCCCAAGATCCCAGGCTGCTGCTCCTTCAAGAAAGTCCACACCGGTGCAGCGTTGGCGCCGTTCACATCCAGTTTTCCGAGCACGGGGAATGTGACGCCGTAGTTGAGCTGGCAGAAAGACTGGATATCATCATCCGAACCAGGGTCTTGGCTGCCGAACTGATTGCAGGGGAATCCGATGACGGTGAAGTCTTCAGGGTACTTGGTCTTCAGGTCCTGGTAGAGCTTTTCAAGGCCTTCGAACTGGGGCGTGAAGCCACATTTCGAAGCTGTGTTCACAACTAGCACGACCTTGCCGTTGAGCGAGGAGAGGGGGAAGGGTGCGCCCTTTTCTGTTTGTACGCGGGGCTTGATTAGCGATTAGGTTCTTTGGAACTTGTGTATGCATGTGATGAGAGGAGAATTTAGACAGGAACAGCACAGAGATTATACGTACTATCGACAGGCTCGAAGTCGAAGAAAGATGTAGCTGAAGACATGGTTGTTATTTGACGGGGATATGCGAAAAGAGGAAACTGCCTCTGAAGTGTTCGCGGGGATAAATAGAATGACGTCGTTAACTGGATAGCTGACCGGAGAGACTTGGCAGAATGTGATATAGGGAATTTTTGCAACGAGAACATGACTCTCTTCTTGTATTCTTCAGATAGTCTAGATGGACCGAGGTCGACTCACTTTCTTACCAATTGGCCACGGGCTGGGCACGGGTTATCCAGATGAGCCGACGGAATTGGAAATCGACCGAGCCGATTGATGATTGGCTTTGGTTTGACTGTCTTTTGATTGGTTCATCGTACTGGGCAGCATAACAGTTATTCCAAATCATTGCTGACTGTCGATGAAATCTAGATTCATGGGCTTTTTATTAGATCCCGAGGTTATACCGATCAGGTTTTGTCAGCTTAGAATCTCATTTCATGAATTTCAATGTGATATATATTTGATCGGATATAACACCAAATAGGAAACACCTACATATGTATGACCATGAGATCATACCATTTGGCAGTTAGCTGCCTATTCCGTCAGCTATGTTATTTGATACTAAGGTATCGGAGGAGACTCCACTAAGAGTCATATATATTAAATGCTACCAAAAATTTCAATACGCTAAGGCTTCTCCATACTGTGTTTGGTCATAGGTCAATTTCCCTTGACTGCAACCGGATTTGGCTGGCCAAGTAGTTCCCATGAATGGGATTCAAAATCCAGCAGACTATATATCCAAAAACATATCGATACAGGTGCCAGACTGTCTCTTGTTGTTTTCGAAACAGGGACATTTGAAAGGCTCCAATAAGCTACAGCTACGCGCTACGTTGGGATCAAGGTTAGAGTATCACTAGAAAAAGGCGTAATGCATTCTCTAAGACCTGGAAAACTAGGGCGACAAAGACAAAACAATTTTTTTTAGCAAGGCTGTTCCTCCCAGGCCGATTACGTGGAAGTCACACGGAGGTATGAAACGCACTGGCAAAATATTGTACACGAAAAGTCAATCAATCATAAAAAATCCCGAAGGATGAGCATATGTGGGAAGAAACGAAGAAACGTGAACCTTGTATATCGTAATGACTAAGTATGGCCAGCCGCATTTTCTGCGATACTAGCGGCGTTAGATGCAAGGCTTTCACCGGTACCAACGGCACTGTTAGCGATGGCAATACCGCTGTTGGCAGGACTGGGAATAGTCTCGGTGGTCTCCCCAAATGCGGCAGTCCCATCGCGCTTGATGGAACTAGGCAGGCCTCCAGCTTTGCCTTCATGGATAATAGCAGGAACGGCGCTCCCAAGTGTGCTACCAGCGAGGTCATTAAGCTGACGCTTCGCAGGTAAATCGGCACCAGGCAGGGCACCAGTCAGGCCACCAGCGTTGGCTTCGTGCATAATGGCGGGAACGGCACTCCCAAGTGTGCTACCAACGAGGTCATTGAACTGACGCTTCCCAGGTAAACCGGCACCGGCAACGGCGTCCTTGGCAGTACCAGCGCCACTAGTCAGGTCCCAAGCTTTGGCTTCATGGATAATGGCGGAACCGGCGCTTCCAAAAGGGATACCAACGACGTCGTTGAGTTGACGCTTCGTAGGTAAACCGGCACCGGCAACAGCGTTCTCAGTAGTACCAACAGCACTACCAGCCATGCCAACAGCGCTGTTGAAAAGGCTTGGAATAGTTTCGGCAGTCTCGCCAAGAGCAGCAGTATTGTCACGCTTGAGGGCACCTGTCGGGCCGCCAGCGATGGAGGTGACAGGCCCAACAATCTTAGTGGCGGCACCTGTGACACCAGCAACAGTACCCTCCACATTGCCGAGGCTGGGAAGAGCGGCAGAGTAGCCCAAGCCAGCGAGAGCGAGTGAAATGGTCAACCCAATGAACTTCATTGTTGCAATAGGTGTAAAGATTCAAATGGTTAAAAAGAGTGAATCGGCGAAGAAGAAGTGTACAGGTATAAAGAGAGCGACTGGAAGTGAATGAATGTCTTGTGTATAGAAGAGAATGCGAAGCTGCTGGATCTAAAGGCCGGATTATATACAATTCTCTGGGGTTGTTTTGGAAATGTGCTCCGCACGGTGATTAATAGCTCCCTCGCGTCTGGGATGATTAGGGGCGATGTTTTGACCATGGCTGTTATTATCGTAACCGGTGCTAACGGGCTGCAATTCATCAAGTTGCGTAAGTAGTTTCACTTTAGCGCAGATTGCACAAAAGAAGGGATGTATGTCCCCAAATAGTCTCAAGTTAAGATGCAAGCGATTTGGTTGGAGCAAATTCCCAGCAAGGTTGGCCCGGATAAGCGGGCTAGTGAATCGTTGAAGCTTGTTCTTATTTGCGCGATATTTGAGGTTATCTCATATAGTCTTATATAGAGAAAATCGCAACGTGGGAGATTTCGCATGGTCTGTTCGAACATGTGTAACCAAGTCAAATATTCTCCGTCAGGATAAGACTAAGACCAGCCAACCATAGGAAACATCTCAAAATCAAGTGAGGGATGCATATTAGCGCATTGGCCATAGGCTAAGGCAAGGGTCGTTACATGCGGGGCTCAAATATGGGTTGATCACCGGCTTTCCCAGGGGGACTGAACGTGAGTTTTCCTAAGTGGAGCGTTTGAACTTTGAAAACAAAATAGTTCCCCGTCAGACGTCCTTGCGTCGACCCTGCATAAAATGAAGCCTCTACCGATATTGCAGCAGCCACCCTGCCCTTGGTGTTTACTGGCGTGTGGAGGCACATTCTGTTTGGAAGGGGAAACTGAAGACCGTCTATTTTGCTTTTGGATACGAAAACGGTCTTCGGTTAGGAAAACTAAATCGCTGGAGGTATCCATAGATGCTTCATCAGAGCAGACTGTGCCCACATGATCATTTGCCCAAAGGAACCACCAGGAATGACCTGCCGAGTGTAGAATCGCCACAAACCATTGAGCATGATAGGCATGAGCGAGGAAAGTCCTAAACAAGCTGCTGTATCAAGCAAATATCCTCCAAGAGCATACAGTTCAGAGGTGCCAATGGTTTACATACTGCATACTAGATAGGTCACTCATGTCAAGCACTGGAGAGCGCAGCGATTTGGACATCATCTCTCACTGGGATGACGATGGCCCTCGATAGTACGGATAGTTACATATTGCAGTGACCACTATGAGCCAACAGTGATATGTCGGCCGTGTTGTATGAGAGGAAGCAAAGGGGCGCGCAAGTGCCTTATTGTTGACTTCATGTACTGACATAGATCGGAAGCCTAACTAGGACCTTGATTGGAAACACGAAGGGCAATTCTCCGCCAGAGACATGCGGTATTCTCATGTGTAATTAGGATATAGGATTCAGAGGTGAAGACTAGGGTGTGGATTCCGAGTGGAGATCTGAGGGAAGTATGAGAAGTGAGTTATGGGGTTTCAGAGTTGATGTTTTATTAGTGTTGTGCAGTTTGTGTTGTTTGTGTTATTTGTGCGGTTTGTACAGTTTGTACAATTTGTCTGTTTATTATGGTGTTGATGTTTGGAATGTGGCAGGCAACGATTAATGCCTGAGGCAACTAGCGTTGTCACGTCAACGGTCGCCACTAGTCCCAAACAGGGAAGGCGCAACATAACAGTGGCATGGCAGCTGCCCCAAACATCATGAACTCGGACTTTGTGTTGATTTCCTTTTCCTCTAATCCACCTGTACAGGTTTTTCGCATCCCTTTTATTTTCTCTTTATTCTTACCATCCTATCCTCATAGATCTATCTCCCTGAGTTTGATCATGAGCGTTTAGGTCTTACTTTTACCGCGACTATTTTCTTACTGGCTTTGCTATCCTCCGAGTCACACTAAAACAACAGGACCTGTAACGGTACCATATTGATCTACCTTCGCTGTTTATCAGCGTTACACAATCACTCCAAGTCTCGGTGGCTGTCAACAAACAACCTCCAATATGACTACCGACTTCAATCACGGCGGCCAGATGATCGAGTACATCCAAGGTTGGTATAATGTTCTTCGACAATTTAAATGTCTTTCACCCAGCATTGAGAGCTAAGAAAAGACATTATCTAGACCGTCTCTACCTTGCATCTTATGATTCTGCTCCCAGTTCCAGAACCCCGTTTCCCTTCCATCTGGATGCACCCAAATCCCCAAGCAAGCGCGCACGTGCCCAGCCCGCCACTCCGAGCAAGCGACGCTCTCCCGTGTACTTTACTGTCGATGACACTCTTCTTTACAATGCTTTCCACGCTGATTTCGGCCCACTCCATATTGGTCATCTTTACCGGTTTGCCGTGCTTTTCCATGAGATTCTTGGCGATCCAGCCAACAGCGACCGCCCGGTAGTCTTCTATAGCAAGACTGATCCCCGGAGTCGCGCCAATGCGGCCTGTCTTGTTGCATGCTATATGGTCATGATTCAATCCTGGCCACCTCATTTGGCTCTGGCACCCATCGCACAGGCAGACCCTCCCTACATGCCTTTCCGCGATGCTGGATACAGCCAGGCAGATTTCATATTGAACATTCAAGATGTCGTTTATGGAGTGTGGAAGGCCAAGGAGCAGTCTCTTTGCGGACTTCGCGACTTCAACCTTGAGGAGTAAGTGCCACTGTTTACACTGCCGAGGATTGAATGCTGATTTTGTTCAATAGGTACGAGAAATTTGAGCGAGTCGATATGGGTGACTTCAACTGGGTTACGCCAGATTTCCTTGCCTTTGCATCTCCTCAGCAACAGCCTGTGGCACCCATTCCCGTCAACACGCCCGAGTACAACGCATTGCCCGCAACAATCTCGGAAATCTCTTCGTCAAAGCTTCCTATGCCGTTCAAGAATGTTCTCGCCCATTTCCACCAGCGCAACGTTGGCCTCGTTGTACGACTCAACTCGGAGCTGTATTGCCCCTCTTACTTCACCGCAATGGGGATCGCTCATATTGACATGATCTTCGAGGATGGCACGTGCCCTCCCCTGCAGCTTGTCAGACGGTTTATCAAAATGGCCCATGAGATGATCACCATCAAGAAGAAGGGCATTGCAGTTCACTGCAAGGCAGGCCTAGGCCGTACAGGCTGCTTGATTGGTGCTTACCTGATTTACAAGTACGGATTCACCGCCAATGAAGTAATTGCCTTCATGAGATTCATGCGACCCGGTATGGTCGTTGGACCTCAGCAGCATTGGCTCCACCTCAACCAAGGTGCTTTCCGTGAATGGTGGTTTGAGGATAGCATGCGCGAAAAACTAGCACAGTCAACGCCTGTCACTCCGCGAGTGTCGACCAAGAAGCGCACTAGCAACGGAGTGGTCTCCACCCCACCAAACAATAGCCACTCCAAACGCGCAGCCCTCGGAGAGATTGATCACAATGAAGCTGCAGCTTACCCAGACCAGGATCTTCCTGCACCGACCCCTGGCCAGCCTCGCAAGTCCCACCGAAAGGACTCACGTCACCACCCTTATTCCAGAACTGCCTCCGGATCCCTCGCTGTTGAAAACGAGCAGCGCAACCACCGTAGCCACAGGAAGAGTAACGAGAGCAGTGAGAGTGAAGAAGAGATCCAGCTGCGCCGATTAGCGCAGCGGACATCGAGGTCTCCTGTTGCCTCGCCCACATCACGGTCTATCAGTTACTCCGCCACCGTCACAGCCAGCTACACCCTCGCAGAAGACAACCACAAGGATCAAGAGAACTGGGTTGATCACTCAGCACCCAAAACTCCCGTGACCCGCAAGAGTGGCGCTGCCCCTATCTCGGTGAGCAAAGTTCGCTCCAGCCCTCGCCGGGCAACAGAAAATACCCGTAGCGAGTCTCGTGGTGTTCGCAAACCTAGTGGCCGCATTGGTAGCAATACCATCAGCCCCGCACGAGCAATTAAGACCATTCACTAGACGTTCTGCTCTCTTCTTTCGCCCCTAGGAACTCTGCATGTTGGCGCTTCTTCTTCCATTCTTCTCGTCCCACTGGGACAATACTTCTGCATACCCCTTTTCCGTGATGCATCTGGATGCTTTTTAATGTTTGAATTTGCAAATCTCGGTCTGTTTTTGTTTTCTGGAGCGAATACTGGTTATTGGGCATGTTGTGCACGGCGTTTGGTTCTGTTGTTGATTGACGAATCGTCAGACGTCTTGCAATTGGGTACCGATTCACTTCGTGCCGCATGTTGTTCTGTCTTTCGCTCTTGTATGTGTCAATTCTACGTCGATATGACAATGCTGTTCATGAACTCCTTCAACTCCATTCCTCCCTAAATCTTTAAATCTCGTATCTTTTGATCCAAATGGTGAGTCATGTTGAACCCAGTCATCTGAGATCGACTATACTTGACTTTTCGTTCCTCGGCCATGCCTTTAACGGCGTACCATATAGCATCGCTCGCACAGAAAGCTCTACATGGGTTGAATGAGGCTGACGCAAAAAAAAAAAAAAGTGTGAATATTCCATATCTCTCGCATGCTATTTCATGTTCCAAGAGGAAACATCAATCCGCTCCCACTCAACTCAATTGGCAGCCAGAAACTGTATGCACCGTTAGCATTCGTTCCATTCCATACCGAGAGATCAAACCTCACCTCTTGAGCCTCTTCCTCCCCAACAGCAGAGCTATCCACCTCACTCTTCCCAATAAGGCCAAGCTTCCCCTTTCTCACGAACCACCACAGCTCCCTCCGATCCCCACCTAGCTCCTCCCGCAACATCCTACCTTTCAACTGACGCACAAAGTCATTATACACCACCGGTTCCTCATAATCCACGAGCTCTTCGCGCATAGTCCCGAGGCCCTCGATAACGCGGTCGTAATTCGAGTGGCCGAGGCTGTGTGTGATTTGGGTCTCAATGATTTTAGCCATTTGCTGTACAGCATCGTGGATTGCATCGATATTTTCTGCACGGGAAAGTGTTTGCTTAAATTCTGGAATTGCGTTCTCGGTGGAAATCTTTGTCCGCTTAGGTTCGAGGCTGAGGAGGGCGTCGACGTCTAGACCTGACAGGGGTTTCTCTGTCTCGCGCTGGCGTTTACGGCCTTTTGTTTTTGGTGGAACTATAAAACGGAATGCGTTGATGAGTAGGGTGTCTCCTAAATGCAGTTTGAGAATTGGTGATACCTTTCTTGACATCTCCCGTAGACATCAATTTCTCAAGATGGGACTTGGAGTTCTTGACCATCTCTTCTGAGGGGTGTGCGAATTCGGTGAGCCGTTCTGATGGGTCAAGGACAGGATCGTTTGGATGCACAGCACGGTATCGAACGGCTGATTCGATACGGTGCAGTAATGGGGAAAATGACTCGTCAATTGGGAGATCGTTAGTGGGTTCCCTGGCTCTTTTGATTAGCTGGGTGACTGGATAATCAAGTGAGTTCTACCTACCCTTCATCATTTGTGGTGACAAATTCCATGCTGTCCACGTAATCACTCATTGCATCTTTCAAAGCGGCACTTGGGAGGTTGCGATGTTCAGTCACAACCTTGCCGGAGACAGTGAGGATCTTATCCAAAGGTGGGAACCGATATGACCGTACGTCTTCTGCAAATGGAAGCTGTACTTCGATTAAGCACTCATAGTCTGCCTCGACGGACGGGGCTAGCAGCACGAGCATTGGTGGTTTGGTTTCTTTGGTCACCAATCGGGCAACCGCATATGACTCTAATTCGTAGAGTGCATGGATGAGAGAAGACAACGCAAGAGAAGCATTGTCATTTGCACGCTGAGGAATGATAATATTCGTGTTGGACATGTGCATGTACCGGTCATACTATGTGGCAAGGATTAGCTGTTATAACACGCGTGAGATTGGCATGGAGACACACCTGGTCCTTCTGAACGAACCCGATTAGCCCCATACCAGCAAAGGTTTGGAGATTTGCGACATTCTCATCAGTTTGCTCGATAGGAACTGCTGTACGTCCATACTCGTACCCCTTGGCGAGGTCATCACGTTCAACGTCAATCTTACCCCCTGGTGCAGACTCGTCTGTGATCTGATAGGTCCGTGATATTCGCACTGAGGCGAGAGCGTCGCCTTCAAGATTGCCTTTACCTGGTGCTTGACTTCCGGGTTCGGTGCCGGAGCGTGGCACGAACGAGCTCGCTGAGATTGGCTTGGCGACGTACGTTCGGAAGTATCGCTCCACGGGTATGGTGATCGCTGTGTCATACTCTTCGGGATTGCCGAGCATAAGGTTTCCTTTGAAAGATGGCATGCTCTTGGTCACTTTGATGCGGGGAATATCCAATTCCGAAACAGCTTGCTCCAGCGTTCCATAAACACCTTCGCAGTTCTCAGCTAGGCTTCGGAGAAGTGTTTCGTTTTCAGCCTGCATAGAACTTGATTAACGTCAACATTCGAATACACTGTAGAAGACTTAGTACCTTTAGACTGTCTTTGTCTTCTTCCTTTACACCGTACTCAGCGTCATCAAAATCGGCACCACTGGATGATATTAGCATGAATGTAAAGTCACATCGGTAAGAAACATACATAACCACCAACTCAATGTTGACTTCTTTCATCTTTTCGATGATATCTTCAATACCATCATCGCTCATCACACCGGTACCATTGGTCACCAGGACGATCTTTCGCTTGTATTTGTTTTTCTTTGTGTACTCAAGGATCATCTGCACGGCAATGACGATAGAAGAGATGGCTTGTATAAAGTCAGAACCAGCGGCTTGATGGGTTTTCAACTGTCACATACCATCGCCTCTGTTAGTATTGCTGGGTTTGATTGTTTCTCGCAGTCTCCGGATATCAGGCATGAGGACCCTGAAAGACAGTTTAGTCAAGTGGTTCGATATGAAACAGTCAATTAATCACGTCACACATACTGGCCAAGACCGAAGAGGACGGAGATATTAGAGAAGTTCTCATCTTCCAAGTCGTTGATAGTTCCTGTTCTAGGCATGAGACAAGGCTCCCAATTGGTGCTGACTCGTAGGCTACCACTCACCATCTGTCCTGAGACCAACCACGCCAACCGTAGCCGTCTTGCGACCGGTAGCCACCTGAAATTGTCAGTTCTCTGGCGTTGAGCAAAGTCGATTCACATACTGTGGCGGTGATTCTATCCCAGACATACTGCATGGCCCATTCGAGATCCGTCATAGGACGGCCATGGTGGCACTCGCCCATAGACCGTCCCATGTCTATAATGTAAACTGTAGCTTCTTTCTCCGCCATGATGATGATGTTGGGAAAATATCAAGTCAAAATTGCTTGAGGCTCAAGACAACAGGCAGACGCGTGATAATTCCACTTGCGGTTTAGACCGAAACGCGAAGGCACATGACATCACACTCTGTACGGTTTGTTGGTGTTTGGTGGTCCGTGCGTCGCTATGAGACTGCTATGCCTATTTGGCAGTGGAAACAAGGTTTTCCCTAAGAACCGGGTCGTAGCGATAACTGCCCACTTCTTCCCCTCGATGCTTGGAACCTCACATCAACTTTATCGCCAACTTAACTCTCCCGAAGTTATAATATATCTGAAATCATGGATCCTCGCCCCTATCATATTCTGAGGTTTGTTTATTAGTGAAAATCATAACTCATATGCTAATAAATGATGTAGCTACGGCACCCTTTTAGGGACACAGTTCTACCAGGTGAGATCGATATCTGAACTGGGCGCATATCAAATCGTCCTCTCCAAAGAGCATTTTCTGACATATTTCAAGTCTTTTGTCGGAGGCTTCGTTGCTTTCCGCGCCCTTCCGCGGCCCCAGTTCTCTAGTCTGCAGACCGCCATCTTCCCCATCTACTTCTCACTGCAAACTGCGCTGCCTGTAGTGGTCGCCTTGACCGCTTCCCACGGCGGACAGGTATTGGGCCTATCTGGTCTAGCTGCACCCGAGAACCGCCTTGACACCCTCTTGCCTCTGGCAACTGTGGCAGTGACTGGGTTGGTGAACATGTTTGTGTTGCGTCCCATGACAATCAATGTGATGCGTGAGCGCAAGCATCAAGGTGCGTTAGCTGCTGTCAATATGTTTTGGTTGAAAAAAAACAATTGATCATTCTAACCTTCGCAGAATCCCGCGATGGAAAGAGGAGCTACGACCCCGCGCCTCACTCCAAGGAGATGCTGGCCCTGAACAAGAAGTTCGGCCGCGTGCATGGCATCTCAAGCTTGGTCAATTTGGCCAGCTTGGTTGCTACGGTTTGGTACGGTGTTGTGCTAAGCAAGAGACTTGAGTAAGTTGACAACAGCAATCAACAGCAATACTTAGCAGGAGGTTCTATGTATATAGCCCTTGTACACATTTCGTTCCTTTTCCCCTATGTCTATTTATCCCTGATTATACATAGAAAAGTTCTCTCTACGGTTTAAGCATTTCGGCATTTTCATCCTTCTAGCTATAAAACCGAGAAGGGGGAGGAAATATCTATAAAAGACGTCTAAAACGCATATATGATTAGACATCCAAAAGACTAACCAAAAAGGTCCACCAGAATTGACAATGCCGCATAAGCGGCCGAATATTCCTGTACTATATAAATAAAAATACTTGATTCGTTTCACCATAGCTAGAGCTCGGTAATACATTAAACACGCCCCATAATCGATTATAATCGGACCAGTTCGTTCGAGAACACTCGCTGCAGCCCATGGATAACAAACCACCACTGTCTCTTCTATATCTGCAGGTTCTAGTCGTTATGCGTTGTTTCTCCCTTCCTTCCTCCCTTGGACGTTATATCACCTACTTCCGCAAGACGCTCGACACCTTGATAGAATTCTGGTAGAGGCTCCAGTCTCTGACGAAGGACCCAGACGCGGAAATGCCACACAGCATTCTTGATCTGGTACGAGGCATGCTTACGAGTCGAGACAGAGAAGACCTGGTCCAATTCTTCCAGAGTAAGAGCTGACGATAGAATATTAGCACAGTTAATCTCAGATCGATCAGGATGCTTACACTTTGTTTCAGGCACAAACAACAGGACCAAAAACCATCCGATTATACACCAAGCAGCGTACCAACCGAAGGCACCCTGGGGTTTGAAAGAATCGACCAGATGCGGCCAAGTGAAAGATAAAATGAAATTAAAGCACCAGGTAGTCGCTGTCGCCCATGACATACCAACGTCGCGGACTTGCAGCGGGAAACATTCAGCGGAATACGCAAATGGGACGGGCCCTTCTCCAGGAGAGTAGAATATTTCAAACAGGTACATTCCCGTGGTGACCATTGCAATCCTCTTTTTGCTTGTTTCATTACCCTCTTCAATCCAGAAGGAAAATCCAGTCCATAGGAGAGTGATAGCAAGGAAGGGAAAAGTGAAAAGTAGCAAATTCCGGCGACCCCAGGTATCAATCGTGAAGAAGGCTGGTAGGGCAAAGACCCAGTTGAGAATACCAGTTCCCATGGATGCCAGTAGCGCGCTAGTCAGACTGTAACTTGCTTCAGTGAAGACGGAGGTAGAGTAGTACGCAATGACGTTGACTCCACAGAATTGCTGCATGAACATCACGATCCAGCTAGCGAGCGTGGCACGGCGGTTTCGTGGGATGGTAAACAGCTCAATGAACATTGCGAAGAAATTCTTGCCCTTGTTAATCTTTCGTTCAAGCTCAACGCCCACATGTGCATAATACAAATCTCTCGCGGCCTGGATGTCCGTTGGACGGAGGATACGGAAATTAGTATAGGCTTTTTGGATTTTGCCATGCTGGATCAGCCATCTTGGAGATTCCGGGCAGAAGTAGACTTGAGCGCAGACAATCAGTGGCAATACGACAGTGGATCCTAGCATGAGACGCCAGCTGATGTCTCGATCTAGACTCATGAACGCAACACCCATTATGTTGCCAAGCATGATACCGAAGGCCGTCCACATTTGCCACATCATAACAAGAGCACCTCGGATTGGAGCGGGAGAGCACTCTATTGAATTAGCAATAACGAAAAGAAAGTTATGCAACAACACTCACCCGCGGCATATACAGGCACTGTACTCGACTTTGACCCAATCCCCAGACCAAGAACAAAGCGAGCAATGAAAAGATTGACCCAGGTATTTGCAACACCTTCCCATACCGAGGCAACAGCTGCAATCACGCATGAGATGAGAATTGTACCACGCCGAGCAAATAATCGATTTAAGGGCTCAGTAAGCCAGCAACCGATAATCGCACAAGCTAAGTATGGGGCACCGACAACAAGGCCTTGGATATTTTTGGAAGTGATGTTGAGTTGCTAGACCAAAAGTCAATTTATACTAGCACAAATAACGATAGGAAACGTACGTCTTCGGCAAAGTAGATAGCCTGGGCACCATTATTGACGGTCTCATCCATACCTTGGACAGCCGCAGCCAGAGAGCACATTGCTGGAAGTGGAAAGGAAGTTAGTCTAGGCCAATGGATCGCTTGAATTCTCACACGTACATGCTAGAAAGTATAACTGCCATGGCTGTGACCACTTATGGGTATTTTCACGCTCGAGAGCCTCCCTCTCTTCCTCCGATAACTCGGGAAGACTGGTTGCCGATGCAGGATTTTGCGAAATGAGAGCACCCTTTTTGAAAGTCTCGACATGATCCATCAAATCGTACTTGGTGCAAAATTCGACAACATCTTTAAAGAGTTGTTCGCGGGAAATTCCGGCAAGGGGGTTTTCGAAGACAGCATTGAGATTACTAGGAGAGCGGCCCTCGAGGTCTGTCTTCTCTTCCTTGTGAACGCATGTGGGATCTGGGCTCTCCTCTATATGCTCTACCTTCTCCGCAGTGGAGTCGGTCCTTCCATTCTCCTTCATATTGAATGAGTATAGGGTGTCAAGTGATGATCAAATATGCCATGAAACAGTAGCAATGTACTGCGCAATCATCTAGCTTCTGGGTGTAGCCAAGTCAGCTGGAAGATGTTCTCATATAAAGGATCATAAGCAAGAGGTAGAATGACCTGATCAGAAATTTGCAGTTTATCATAGCCTATCAGAGCAAATCTAGAGCAATAGCGAGAATAGCTTCAAGCTTCAAGGGTGAGGGGACTGGAGGGGATTTTCTTGCTTTATAGAACAAGCATCCATTCGCCCCCAATTTTGAGATACACTAAAGCGTCGAGCTTGCATTTAGCTCGGGCTGTCTTCCACACGGAATCATCCGCTAGGAAGCGTAGAGTGCGATTCATGTAACATAATTTAGATAGGTAGCCCAATCGGTCAAAAGGGCGGGATCTCTATCGAATTATTGGATACTGAGCCCTTGAAACCTGGGCTAGAGGATTGTCGAACAACCAAAAAGCAGGGCAGATCTTGTACACGGCACAAAGAGACATCCCTGTCATTGGACATTGTCCAAACACTGAGGTTGCCCCTAGGGCGTGAAGTAGACCGATGAATCATGTATCAACTGGGCCATCACACGAATGGACAATGGGATCGAAGTTACGACCAGTAATAATACACTTCAATCCCTAATTACTATATAAACCAAGTAGTCGAAGCATATCAGATTGGAAGAAGTGATCAGCGCAAGACCAATGGGCCGGTTGGATGTTTACGTCATTGCCAACTGGAGAGGTCCTGGGGGCCGGCTTTGTGTCCCTGTTCAAAGGACCGTGCGGGGAAGAACGGGTCAGGTTCAAATACGACTGGAAAGCCCAAATGCACCTTTAGGGTACAAGTAGGATGCCGGAATTTTGAGTTGATAGGTGTCGGCAACCTGGTCGCCTGAGGTTTGAACATTTATTTGGCCTTAATATCCTATTCATGGGCTCGGGGGTTTCGGCCGTGATTAGCATGATTCTCTTTAGGCTAGGTGTGAAAATCCCTAGAAAAGGAAAAAAGGAAAGAAAAAAAGGCCCGTGGCGCGGGAATTTCCGCATTACAAGATGCGACGACCACTGCGCTACTGGGCCATATGTTCAACAGCGAAAAGATAACAGCGAGACTCCCAATGACTTAGATCCAACAGCTTTGAACTACACAATCTCAAGCGAAATTTACCAGTTACTGAGTACAGAAATAGATTGAAAAGCGACATATATTCGTGTCAAAGCCATTTCTGCCATATTCACCAAAGTCCCCCTCTGTTTTTAAGACCGGATACTGTCAGACTGATATCAGGAGAAACAAAATAAAAGTTCTTTTTACTAGTCAAGCCAGAATTAATATAGTAGAATATACGTATAAAGATGGTACGGCAGAATTCTGGGTTGCACCCAATTATAAAGGCGGTACTGATTTTCTAGGCAAAGGTGAACTATATGTACATGACCAATAAATTACATACTAGCTTGCATAAATGCGTCGGATGACAATTCAACCGAAAAATATTATTGAGACTTGGGCCGGAGGGAATATCATTACGGAGTACGGTGAGTGGAATAAGTTCACTTCTTCCTAGTGGCAACCAAGCTGTCGGGACGGTGTCAGTGACTAGCAGCGAATCGAACAATTTTCTGACATGGATACGAGGATGGACAAAAGTACAAAACTTACGTTGTCCCGCCCCGCTCCCTGGACACGGACCTGGTTTCCTGCTTTACTCTCGACTCTGAATATTAACATACTTTGTACGGAGTTCCCTCAGTACGGAGTATGGAATATTCAAGTTTATAAGTATAAATAAGTACATAGTATGGAGTAATATCATTCACAATGGGCATAAATTACCATCCGTGGACCTCGACCCGTTACGCTGTACCCCTGATTGGCCGAAAAAAAGCCCCTTTTTGGCCCTGCGGATCATCACACAACAATCAACTAATCAACTTAGAGCGATCAATACGTTGTCTACTTTTCAAACCAAAGCCGTTGTACGGGATACACCAAAAGCTAAGGGAAAAAAAAAAAGTACATGCTTGATGCAAAGGAGTACTTATCCGGCTTACGGTGCAAATGATCCTTGAATATAAACCTTGGAACGTAATAGCGCTGGACCCGACAACTTGGGACGCTAATAACTGCCTGAAGACAGAGGGGGTCATAAGGGGGGTCATAAGACTGGCTTGCAGTTTTCACTTTTCACCTTTTCTTTATCCCTTCACCTGTTTACGCGTTTCGCTTTCGTAGATCGGTATCGAAGATGCAGCAAGATACACACCGCGCGTCGACCCCGGTCGAACCTGAAGTTAGTATTTCATGTTCTTTTTTTACGCATTTCCTCTGCTTATTTGACATATTAGTCTGAAAACGATGGGGACTCATTATACTCTGACTCGTAAGACCAGGGACTGGTGATTATTTGTTTTTCCTGCTAATTATGATAGACTTGACAATGCCAGTTACACCACAAGTGTGACATCGAGTGTATTGGACTATCAGTATGTTAAATGTGGCTGAAATCTATGTTCAATGGTTGCTAATAATCGCAGATATGAAGTGTGTCACATCGCCACTTCCAAGGTTGATCACGAACTGTGCTGATAAGATACAGAACGGTCGCAGATATCATTCATACCATGAAGGAGAATACATTCTGGTATGTGCTATTAACATATAGTCTTTGTCTCAGACTAATGTTCAAACAGCCAAATGATGAACGGGAACAAGATCGCCTTGATCTGGTGAGTTTTCACTTGTTGATTTCGATGACGTAAAATGTTAATGAGCAACAGAGCCACCACATTTACCTCATGATGCTCAAAGGAGAATTGTGCCAAGCACCAGTCAAAAATGCAAAGCGAGTACTAGATCTCGGGACAGGAACAGGTTTATGGGCAATCGAGTATGCGGAGTAAGTTCTCTGTCAATATGTCCATCAAATCTCCCCCTAACAAGCAATATAGTACAAACCCAAATGCACAGATCATTGGTATGGGCAAATGTCTACAGCGCGATCAACACGGCTAATTGAAACAGGAATTGACCTAAGCGCTATTCAGCCATCATGGTACGTGCTACTCCTACTATAATAACTAGCATAATATTGATATTTTCAGGGTACCTCCAAACTGCCGCTTCGAGATTGACGACTTTGAACAACCATGGTCATACAGCAAGCCATTTGACTATATCCATGGGCGCGAATTGGAAGGTTCCATCCGTGACCATGATCTCCTCTTCAAACAGGCATTCAACAACCTTAATCCCGATGGATGGTTTGAAATGGCGAGCTTCGATGTCAACACTTACTCCGACGACGGAACTCACCTCGGCGCAAAGAACTTTATCTTATCCATTAAGCACATGCACGAATCATCGCGCATGTTTGGTAAGGACATGACATCGTCCATAACCTGGAAAGATCGGATGGAGAAGGCCGGGTTTGTGAATGTCAAAGAGGATGTCCACAAGGTATGTTCCGCCATGCCTTCTTGATGAAAATGAAACCCCATGCTTATTGGTGAATTAGCTGCCTCAAAGCCCATGGCCCAAAGACCCCAAGCTCAAGGAGCTTGGTCGGTACCACCAACTCAACATGCTTGAAGCCATGCCTATTTACACATATGCGTTGTTTTCAAGAGTGCTCGGGTGGACACGCGCCGAGATTGAGGGGCTGCTGGCGGGAATTCGAATGGAGCTGCGGGATACATCGCATCACTTGTACACGAAATTGCGGGTGGTTTACGGCCAGAAACCTAGCGGACCTGTAAATGCCTAACCGATGTGAATAGAAAATTTATGTCCTGAGTCTTATTGCATGAATGCTTCTAAATTTAGAGTTAAGCATGTGTCACGGAACACGGGAGACCCAGGGGCCATAATCTCTCCATCTCTCCACTGTTAATGCCTCAATACTCAGGCAAAGACTACGCACTTGAACCAACTTTCAGCGTAGTGGGTATAAATAGACATCTTTTTCACTTTGAGACTAATGAAAAGCAAAATTCATATTCTTTCTTGCGGTTGGCTTCTTGACGAAGCAGCTGTAGAATGTGCAGTCATGTACCTCGTACGGGTATGCAATCCGTGACATCCCTTGTGAGTGGTGGGCATGCTTTTAAGCCGGGTAATGGAAATAATATGTTTGTTTTCTGCCTCAGTTCTTCCCTTTCTCTTACTTGCTGACTTTGCGAGATCGAAATGCAAATAGATAGATGTACCAAAAAGGTGAGAGGTGTAATTAATATGCATTAGGATATTATGAGTTATGATTTATCGAGGGAGTTAAGAGAGAAAGAGGCTATCTGTATGTCTTGGAAACAGCCAAATCCTCAACATTCCAGGACGCCAGCAAAATGCAACTCCTGAAAAAAGGGTAACGAATGCCATGTTGCAAAATAGTCCCCGCCTATGTTCCGCAAAGCAAACGCCATTGTTTTGAAAGTGTTCATCGGTATCGTGAAGAAATAAGATGCTTTGGAAAGCAAGTCGGGGATCAGGTTGATAGGAGGAAGATCGCACATATTGCATGGCCACGATCGTTGAAGTATTAGGAATGGCGTTCTCTAGGTCGAAAAGTTCCACTCTTTTGCCGTCTTGACAAAAGAAAACTGGCGAGTCCTGTCTTCAGAACAATATTAGGTACCAAGTTCGATCATGATGCGGTAAAATGCAAAACACTCACCATTGTCGAGCTATCTTTGCCCAGAATAACGGCCTGGTGGGAAAGTGTACTCGTCATCTATGTCCTCTTTGGCCGCCATGAGAGGTCCCCACTCCTTTTTTATCTCCTTCCATTGTTTCTTCAAGCGCTGGAGAGGTGAAGGATGTGACTTCTCCTGGGTGGCGTTGAGATCCTCAACGGAGGAGGATTGTGACAGGCTCGTTTTAGGAGTAGATTCCTGTGAATCAATATGTTCAGACATAATGTGTGGATAATTTGTAAAATTATTAATTTCTATCTCGATTTGTATTTGCACGGCGATCTCGCAGACTTTATATCTATCTTTATTCAGATAAGGATGACATCCATGGATGCAGGGGTTTTTTATTTGAAAACTGTGAACCGAGTCTTGTCCGACCGAATACCGAGATATCACCGCCGAGGTATCTCCGCGTCCTTGAGGCATTTGAGTTTTCCCTATTGAGTTGCGACCCTACAGATCTTCAAGATGTTTGAATTTTCGCATTGTTAGAAATGGTGGCTATTAGTGAGTTCTTATGTTCAAGCCAGAAGATCATCTCGTTGTTTTTAGAAGCTATTAAACCACACATATCATGCCATGTTTCTGGAGATGACCAGTAAGCACTACAGTGCATGCACACTAGAAAATACGAGTAGGTATGGAGTAGAGGAGTGAGGCGATCGTAGGAGAAAGAGAGAGAGGAAAATAATCTCGAAGGGAAGAGAAGTGAGCTATGAAACCGGTCTGGTACAGTGGGTCCTCTACCGATGAGTGCGGACACTACTAACACATAGCCTAAATCGCTTGCCGCGCTCCAATGACATTTTAATATATGTATAGCAGATTGATAAGACCTCGGGACGGCAGTTGTATACTCCAAGCGATCATACCTCTAGAGAATATGGTTTTATCATGAAGGGTAGAAGTCTAGAGTGATCCTTGGAAAAATTATGAGCAGTGGTTTCCTAATATATATCCTGGAGATAGCATCGAAGGGATGCTAGAAAATACAGAAAGTTGCCAAACGACACTAGAGTTTATCTCATCTTGCCTTCTGTTTTTTTCCTTCTCTTCTTTGAAAGTAATTTCCATAATTTAGACGCAACTATCTCAAATTATTGACCGAATGGATGTTCCTTTTTGAGTCATTTCCATCGCCATATGATGATTATCCATCGGTCGTTGAAATTACTATCCGCATGCGATGAGGCTCATCAATGTTGGAATCCTGACCAATTAAAGACGATACCGCTTATCCCCACCTATCCCCACCGGCCATGCCGCCAATAGGAGCTCCTGAACTAGCCCGCGGAGGATGCACCGCGGACTTTGCCGCGGTTCAAGTCACCATCAGACCATATAATCCAAAAATCTGTCCTTGATTGTAAAGTATTTAAAGCTCTCTTGAAGGTAGCGGACAAGGGACAGATAAGGAAGTTAAATTTCATTCGGGATCAATAAAGCCACTCAAAAACATGAAAAGCGAATCTGTAGTGATCATCGGGTAAGTGGGAGCTAAAACACACAACGCTGTTTCGGAGTCTTGATGCTAATTTTTATAAGGGCCGGCGTGATCGGGCTAAATGTAGCCCTCGTTCTCGCTGAAAAGGGCTATGGTCGATACACAACCATCGTTGCAGAGCATCTCCCAGGAGACACTTCGATAAATTACACTTCACCATGGTTCGTTACAATTCCTGCTGCCAGTTCAAATCCACGAAATATTAACCAGAGTTTAGGGCTGGTGCCAATTTCTCAGCTATTTCAGCAAGTGATCCGAACGCATTGCGATGGGACAAGCTTGGATATGAGTATCTTCTCGATCTTGCAGCCAAGGATGGGAAGAATGCGTTTGTGAAGGAAACACCTTCGGTGGAGTATTGGGATGAGTTACCATCCCGTGAGAAGATCGAATCGATGGCCGCCTATCTTAAAGATGTAAGTTATAGATGACTTCATTGCTTATCCCAGATGTGCTTATCGATATTACCATTGAACAGTTTAAGGAGATTGCCACACAAGACCTGCCAGCGGGTGTCGCATTTGGCATAGAGTTCACAACAATAACACTCAATGCACCAATGCACCTTCGGTATTTGTTCCAGAAGCTTACCCAAGAATATGGAGTGCGAGTAATTCGCAAAAAGTTGCCCCAAGTATCGTCCGGCTATCTCAGCAAGGATACTAAGGTGGTATTCAACTGCACCGGGAATGCAGCAAAAGAGTTACCGGGAGTCAAAGACTCAAAGTGCTTTCCCACCAGAGGTCAGATTCTACTTGCAAGAGCATCTCATGTTCAGCAAAACATCATGAGACATGGTAAGGACTATGAAACCTATGTGATCCCTCGACCATACTCGAACGGAAACGTTATCCTTGGTGGATTCATGCAAAAGAATGTTGGGTAAGTAGGGTCTATTCAGCTCTTGTGAGAACAACATTAGTCTATTGTTGTTTTCTCTTGGGTGTTCCATATGACAGTAGCTGAACTATATCGACAGTACACCAGATACCTTTGGAGAAGAGACAGAATCAATTCTGTCTCGAACAACGGCTTTACTTCCTGCTCTGAACTCGAACGAGACTGAGATCCTTGGTGCATTTGCTGGGCTACGTCCATCTCGCGAGGGTGGTGCTCGTGTAGCCAAGGAAAATGTGCAAGTAGGCGCTGCAGGACGCCGGGGGGTTGTTGTCCATAACTATGGTGCCGGTGGAACTGGCTACCAGGCGGGATACGGAATGGCGGTTGAGGCAGTCAATACTGTGACCGAGGAGATCAACGCACTTGATATTCAGTCCCGTCTTTAGATGCTGCTCCAAGTGTTCACCTTGGGTATATTTTTGTGATGTTATAATGTTTAGATTTCCTAGGCCAGGCCGAAGGATTGGTTTGATCGCCAAGGAGTCTACAGATTGGGATTTTGATTTAGCTTATAGAAAGAAGTTTTCAATTCATTATTCGTGTGGTATCGTCGTAAGTTACATAACAATCATATCGCCCCTTGTAAAACCCTCGGAAGTGATGTAGTGGTGCGATTACCGTAACTCTGCCGTGCTATTCATCCCACTCGCTTCATAGCTTGGGGGAGGACTGTCGTCGATATGGGAGTATATGACATTATCCTCATGATCACCATCATGTTGTGTCACGACAATTTTCGGTACAGGTCGCTCAGCTTTCACATTGGATAAGCATGGAAGCTCGAAGAGAGATATGGCACTCGTCTCAGATGGGAGTTCTGGGATCGCAGGAGCGACCATCGAGACCTCAGACGGAGAGAAGAATGATTCGTCCTTGCTCAAAGTGGTTGGTAGTGATTCAAGGTGCCCAAGAGCCGTCTCGAGTTTGTCATGAGAAAGAAGCATGCGGGATTCCTTTTTCAGGGCAAGTTCATAGTCACGGCGCTTCCAAATTTTGTGTTCTTGGGGCCTGGTTTGTCTAAACTGCTGCACAAACGCGGCTAAATCATTGGCGGCATTTTCGCCATCTGTGATGGTCGAGTCGATCCACTCAAGCTCGATCTCGCCTAGGACTGTCATTCTGTCATCCCGCAAGTGTCTTGTCTGCTTCGCTGTGGAGTTGACGAGTATGGCTGCTTCGTAAAACCCTCCTATCTGCTCCTCCGGAGATAGTGAAGAAACAGTGACAGAGACAGATTTGATTGATTGGACTCTTGTGGATGGTGACACGGGGGTTGGAGATGGGTTTATTGGTTGCGAGTTGAGTGCCCGTGAGTAAAACCGTGACTGTGAAAACATTTGCTCTTGGGGATTCACATCGCTTGCTGTAACATGCTGTTTCGTATCTTCAATGCGAGCGGCTCGGTATATCTGATCTGCTGATTGATTCCATTTTGACACCGATCGATATATTATCGATTTAGCTGACCGCTGACACCGATCCTTTGAATCATTCAATGTATCTGCTGATTTGTGCCATATTTCCATTGTCGATTGATGATAGCGATATTTTGAATCATCCCACATGGCTGTTGAACGACCGACGAGGTTCCTTGTCGATCGCTGCAATTTCCCTGTCAACTGGCTTTTTGGCCGGTGTGCGAGGTCGGTGGGTGCCATTTTCAGACAAATGCACTTCTATGAAAAATGATTTTTTTTTGGATTTGGATGTCTCAGAGAAAGGTGAGATCTGACAGGCAGTTGAAATCTGAACGAGAAACGTGGAAGAAATACAAGGTATATAAGTTTCCAATATCAACTCAGCCTTACTTTGTAGGCTATACGGATCCTCGGAAATTAAAGAGGGCTTTCTCCCAATCAATCACATTCAAACATGTTGGTTGCCAGCAGAGCATGGCGATGCTAGAAGGCTGTGTGCTGATAGGCAACGTGGTTAGCACTGGAGTGTAGATCCACGTTCATCATTGGTCAACTTTTTGGGCGTCGCTAAATTTGGCTGTGGATGGTGGGGCCCATGGGGGCCAAACTGCCTGGGGGCTTGTGCTGCCCAATTGGCGTGGACTCTAAAAGTTCGAATTTCAAAGTATAGTGGTCGATACGAGGTTGCCTCAGACCATAATAGCCCATAAGAATCCATGATCAGGGCTCACATTGATTACCGAGTAATAGTACTTCCTAAGGATGAGATACATTTCCTCTTGAATCTTGAAGTAGGGATTATTTCAAACCACGTGATATCATGTGACATCACGTGCTCTCTCGGCAATTGATGTCATTTAATAACAGTTCCTCCCATATTTCCCCGGATTATTTATCATGGCCGTAATTGATGGAAATTCTTCAGATGAAAGACCCTCAAATTAGTCCAGAATAAGGTCAATCCCGGCGGGATAACCCCGGAGCATTATATACTTTTAGGAATCAACTCTCATTTTTGACAGAATCGAGTTATAAAAGCAGCATGATGCTGCCAATCAAGATAGAATACCAGTTAGCTCCGGCATACCAATCATGAGAATTCCACAAGTTTTTGCCTTTGCTGCAGCTGTAGCTGCAGTGACAATCCCACGCTCCAAGCACTCTTCTCCCACCCCGTTCACAAATGTGACCATCTTCTCACCACCTTCGGACTACATCGTTCCACGGACACTTTACCCGCGAAACGAGCAGCTTCCCAACGGTGACCTTCTTGCAACATGGGAAAACTACTCCCCAGAGCCACCGGCTGTCTACTTTCCCATCTACCGTTCCAAGGACCACGGAAAGACCTGGAAGGAGATCTCCAAGGTCCACGACACTGTCAACGGATATGGCCTACGCTACCAGCCGTTCCTCTACTCTCTGCCCGAGCGCGTCGGCTCATTCAAAAAAGGCACTCTACTTCTGGCCGGTAGTAGTATTCCGACTGACCTGTCATCCACAAACATCGATCTTTACGCGTCACAGAACGACGGCTTAACTTGGAAGTTTGTCAGTCATATTGCTGCAGGAGGAGAGGCGGTGCCGAACAATGGACTGACTCCTGTGTGGGAGCCATTCCTACTTGCCCAGTATGTTCTTTCTGCTGTACCTTGAAATAGCTTGCTAACTCCATTCACAGCAAGGGCAAGCTGATTTGTTATTACGCCGATCAGCGGGACAATGCAACTTACGGACAGGCAATAAGTCACCAGGTCTCAACTGATCTGAAGAACTGGGGGCCTGTTGTAGAGGATGTTGGCTATCCGACATATACCGACCGACCCGGCATGCCAGTTGTAACCAAGGTAAGCTAACTGAAGACGCTGGTTCAATTACGATTGCCATGCCCGGAGAATGCTAACCTTTCTAGCTCCCGAACGGTCAATACTTCTATGTCTATGAATATGGCTCTTTCTTCGGTACCTCAAGCTACTCATTCCCTCTGTACTACCGTTTGTCGTCCGACCCCGAAAAGATTGCCTCCGCCCCGGGCCAGCGTCTGGTTGTCTCGAGTGGTACTAAGCCGACATCTTCGCCATACGCTGTGTGGACACCTTATGGTGGTAAAAATGGCACCATCATTGTCAGCTCCGGTACACAGAGTACTTTGTTCATTAACAAGGCTCTTGGTGAAGGGGAGTGGACAGAGATCGCTTCGCCCCAAGAACACGGCTACTCACGGTCTCTGCGGGTACTGTCTGGGAATGGAGGTCGTTACCTGGCTGTGCATTCTGCAGGAGTGCTACTCGGCACCAACAATCGGGTCTCAGTAAGTGTGATGGATTTGAAAGAGGTATTGTGAGCTAAAAGGCAATTTGTGGCGGCGGAGGATTCATACTAGCTGCTGTTCAAGTGCGACTTGTGATCGGACTTGTGATCGTTTGATCGTTTTAAGTGATGTGACCCATTGTTAGATATGTGTTGGTGTTTGATCGAGAAGAAATCTAGATTTTGGTGAAGGACTTCGTTACAAATAGATCGCCATCGAACAAGCTTTGCGCAGTATCAATAACCTTGGAATACTGTAAGGACATAGTATGCTAAACATGAATGCTAAGCCCAAATATGAAATAGTAGCAGCCAATCAAATCAAATCGAACTCAACTATATGTACTCAATACCAAAAAGGACAACCAACCGATACCGAACCCGAGCCTTGAGGGGGAGCACTAAAAGGCACAATCAATGCCACTCCCCCAATACTGAAACCGAATTTATCGGAGTAAACTATGCTTGAATGGCAAAAAGATCAACATGCCTGACGATGCAAGGTAAGCTGACGGGATGAGTCAAAAGGGTCCAGCCATCCAGCCCCATATTTTAGGCAGCGATCTCCCGCCCTTTCCATATTTCTCTCTCCACAATCAGCCTCATTTCCACACATCCCCAGCCATGTTAGACTGCTCTGTGGAAGAGGATGCCTTTGGCCCAATTGTCGCTCCTTCTTGCCTGAACGGATTTGACTTCACCCTCTTGTTTGAAGAGATTATTCTTACCCTTGCGCCGATCGGTCTTGTCTGTTTGGCAGCATCAATTCGCATTCGGAGGCTTTCCGGCGTCCCTGAAAAAGTCAATCGGTCATGGTTGTATGCCGCAAAGGAGGTATAGAGCCCTATAAACTCCAAGCTCTTATATATCCCCACAGTCCTTGCGCTAACCAGCATCACGCAGTTATCATGGCTGTTTTACATAGGATGCCATATGGCCATGCTAGCTCTCTGGTGTCAACCTGTCACATTCAAAACAAGAGCAACTGTACTTACAACTTTTGCGGCTGTGCTCATTTCCCTTCCTCTGGCCTACTTGTCTCATCTTGAGCACCTCCGCTCGATACGCCCATCCACAGTGATCAATGTCTTCCTTGTATTTACCCTGCTGTTCGACCTCGTACGCCTTCGAACTCTGTATTTTATGCCCACCACTCAAACTGTGACCATACTTTTTGCGATATCGTGGGTCATCAAAGCGATAATTCTCAGTTTGGAGGCGACAGAAAAGAGGTCTTTGCTCAAAAAGAGATACCAAAATAGCCCGATCGAGTCGACCAGTGGCGTGCTGAATCGCGCTATATTTTGGTGGCTGAATGAACTACTTTGGCGCGGGTCAAAAGATATTTTGACAGTTGACAGCCTTCCTGCTCTCGACAACGACATCAGAGCTGCTTCAAATCCCCAGTCTCTCCTTGAAAGATGGGACAAAGGTGAGCTTTCGAGATACGTACAACGTATTTTTGTTGTACCATAGATTAACCTACATTTCTAGCCGACAAATATCATCGAAATTCACTCTTATGGACCTTCGTATCTCACTACAAATGGGCCTTTCTGGAGGGTGTTTTACCCCGGCTTGCATATACGGGTTTTTGCTTTGCACAGCCTTTTCTCGTCGAGCGCGTACTCAATTTTATGACTGAACCAGAACACGTTAACTCCGCCAACTATGCCTACGGACTCATTGGTGCCTACGCCATTGTATATCTCGGCATCGCCGTATGTAGCCTTTCATGGCCTGGTGAAAATTCTACTGATTCTGGTACCATCCATAGATCTCATATGCTGCTTATGAGCATAAGACGTACCGCGTTATTACTATGGTCCGAGGAAGTTTAGTCACACTCATCTTCAGCAAAACTCTACGAATGAGCACTACGGCTATCTCAGATACTGCTGCCATCACCCTGATGAGTACCGACATCGAACGAATCGGAAGCGGTCTCAGAGAGATGCACGAGTTATACTCCAACGTTACCGAGGTTGTATTGGCCTTGTGGTTGTTAGCACGACTGCTGAATGTAGCAACAATTGCGTCCACCGCGGTTGTTGTCGGTACGTCCTCACAATATTCTTCTTATTTTGCAAGACCATTTGATTGACTTGGCCATGAATCAGTATGTTTGGCTGCAGGTGTCCCATTGGCAGTTGCTTGTGGAAAAGCACAAGGCATATGGCTCGAGGCTGTCGAAGAGCGGGTGACTGTTACTTCAAAGGTTCTCGGGGTGATGAAAAACATCAAGATGACTGGCTTGACAGAGACTGTCTCCAGCAGTCTTCGGGATTTGCGATCTGCCGAAATCGATGCTTCGTTTCTATTTCGACTCTACGAAACATTGGGGATTACACTAGGTATGTTCGGGTCCAGCTGTGAGATTTTCGCTAATTATATAGGGTATGCCTCTTCATCCTTAGCCCCGCTGTTTGGATTTGGTGTTTATGTTATTCTTGCCCGAGCGAACGACACAACTCCACTAACGAATGGTCTGGCGTTTTCTGCGCTGACACTCTTTTCGTTGCTGGATCAGCCAATGGGCTCCATCGTGAATGGCTCAGAGGATCTGATGGCGGTGGTCAACTGCTTTCAGCGGATCCAAAAGCACATGATGGAAACGGAAAGAGTCGACCATCGACTGAAGCACGATCCTCGAGCGTCCCAATCAGCGCAAAGCTCTAGCAGATCACCTTTGATTGAGGCAGATTCCTCGGCCTGGGAACAATACATCGAGCCCTGTGCTATCATTCAAAACGTCTCTGCAGCTTGGTCAATTGACACTGAGCCGGTACTGAAAGACCTAAACATTGACATCCAAGAGTCCAAGATTACAATGGTTGTTGGGCCTGTTGGGAGTGGCAAGTCTACTTTTTTGAAGATGCTCATGGGAGAGACCCCAGAATGTTCTGGTTCAATTTCTACCAGCTTCACTCATGCCGCATATTGCAGTCAGTCGCCGTGGATTACATTCGGAACAATCCAAGAGAATATTGTTGGTGCATCGCCATGGGATCGACCCTGGTACGACCAGATTACCAAGGTATGCGCTTTAAAAGCCGACTTCCAACAACTTCCTGCAGGGGATCAGACGAAAGTCGGCGTTCGGGGTTCTCGACTCAGTGGTGGACAGCAAATGCGCGTGGTATGTAAGTCTATCTCTGCACATGTAAGAACTTGAATTAACAAAAAGTTCTCTAGGCGCTTGCGCGGGCTCTTTATTCGAAAGAACCTGTTCTTATTTTAGATGACGCTTTAACGGGTCTTGACCGAGAAACCGAAAGGATAATTCTAGAGAATTTGTTTGCTGAAGATGGTTTCATGAAACGTTCTCGGCAAACAGTAATTATGGGAACAAACTCAGGTGTGTATATGCCCTATATCTATGGAAGCCATTCAGTAAGCTTATTTTCACAGCGCATCATCTTCTTTATGCCGATAACGTCATCGCGTTGGATGAAGATGGGAGAATAATCCAACATGGATCGTATAGTGATCTCATGAATTCTGCCGGCTATATCAGAATGCTCTCCGATGGTGTTCACTCGGCCAACAGCACTTCCCGAGCCCCTGATGTTGTATTGGATGACGAAACGTTGCGGGAATTGAACTTGGATGGCCAACATACGGATTTAAGTCGACGGACTGGTGACTGGACTGTCTATCGCTTTTATTTTCAGAACATTGGCTGGCCTCTTCTGTCTGTCTTCCTTGCGTTATGTGTTCTCTTTATTCTCGGTCTCAGCTTTCCTCGTCAGTATCAACAAGCCTACCTAAACAGCTGGTTCCACGCGTTGCTAACCGTCTATACAGAAATATGGTTGCAGTGGTGGACTAGTGCCAATGAGCAGCATCCCAACGAACATGTTTATTATTGGTTAAGTGTATATGCTGCACTTGGTTTCTTCTCACTTCTAACTACCTTTGCTGGCACTTGGTATGATTCCGATATTGTTTTTCAATCAACTCTTCTTCTTGACTAACTCTGTATAGGGTCCTCGGCATGATCATACAGCCCAGAACATCTCGTCGGTTCCACGAGATTATCTTGCGTACTACACTAGGGTAAGAGAGGGCAACGATTATTGATTGTTACTTGTTTTAACCTTTGATCCAGAGCGACAACGTCCTTTTTGACTTCTACCGATATTGGAAACACTACAAATAGGTCAGCATGCTATTCTTCCATAAAAGTTTGCTCATTTTATTAATATGATTTATTATTTACAGATTTAGTCAAGATCTCGAACTCATTGACAACGAGCTGCCTTCAGCCTTGGAGCTAACAGTCAATGCTGCGCTAAGCTGTGTTATAGAAGGATTTTTAGTCTTTGTTGGCTCTTCTTATGTCACAGCAGCAGTTATCCCAGCCTGCGTCCTGTTGGTATACTACGTGGCAAAGTTCTACGTCCAGACCTCTCGTCAAATGCGTCTGCTAGACATTGAAGCCAAAGCACCTTTATTCTCGCAATTCTTAGAAGCCCTCAGCGGTCTCCCCAGCATTCGAGCCTACGGCTGGACAGAGGATTACCAGCGCCGTAATCAAATTGCCCTCGACGCTTCCCAGCGCCCTTCCTATCTGCTTTATTGTATTCAGCGCTGGATTGGACTTGTGTTAGATCTGATAGTGGCATGTATTGCTGTCATCGTTATCGCTGTTGCAATCTCGATGAAGGGCAGCCCTTCCATGAACCTATTGGGCATCGCGTTATTCAATATTGTCAACTTCAGTGGCACCCTTCAGACTCTTGTGACATACTGGATTGGATTGGAAACCTCTATTGGAGCCGTTGCTAGAATTCGCTCATATGTGCTACAAGCCACCACCGAGGATTTGGACTCCGAAACAGAGGCCGTTCCCGAAGACTGGCCTCAGCAGGGTGGTATTGATATCACTGGCCTTTCAGCATCTTACGAGTATGCTCTTGAAAATTTTTTAGTTTTGTTCGGATATATGCTGACCGGTCTTTCAGTGCCTCTGTGGAGCCTGTTCTTATTGGAATTGATCTCAGAATTCACCCTGGTGAAAAGGTTGCTCTCTGCGGCAGGACTGGCAGGTTTGTGTCGTCCCACATCAAGAGAAATATGTTGCATCAACGCTCACTGATTTATATTTCAGCGGGAAATCCTCCCTTGTTTCGGCAATTCTGCGAATACTAGAGCTGAATAGCGGCACGATTCTCATTGATGGTATAGACATCTCAAAAGTCTCCAGAGCACACGTTCGGTCCAGAATCAACACCATTCCACAACAGCCCTTTTTCCTCCATGGCACGGTACGGCTAAACGCCAACCCCGAGGGAAATGCGACTGATGAAACAATTATTGCCTCCCTCCGAGCAGTCAATCTATGGTCCTATATTCAACTCAAAGGAGGGCTGGATGTCGATATGTCTGATGATTTTCTGTCTCATGGGCAGCAACAGCTTTTCTGCCTTGCAAGAGCACTTTGCAAGTCCAGCAATATTATCATTATGGACGAGGCCACTAGCAGGTATGTGGAAAAGCAACGGATATACGACCTTTCGCTAAAATATCTTGCAGTGTGGACTCGGAAACAGATACGCTCATGCAAACCGTCATCCGTACGCAATTCAAGAATCAAACTGTCATCGCCATTGCGCACAAACTGCATACAATTCTAGACTTTGACAAAGTTGCTCTCATGGAAAACGGCAAAATTGTGGAGTTCGATACACCCAAGGCGCTTTTATCAAAGAAGGGGTCGGCTTTTAGGACTTTGTTGGAGGCTTTTCATGACAGTCCCAAAGAATAGATATGGGATGATCCTTGGAATGTGTTTGGTTCGTGGTTTGAGACTAGAGATAATCTCACGAAGTTTTAAACCGAGTTATAGATCAATATGTCGCAAACTTCCCACGGCACAATTTGACTCCAGACCCCAACCAATCCAAAGCTAACTCACACGGCTATAGATGGTAAAAAAATTTGTTGTGTCCACTATAAAAAGATAAAACAAGTGAGCCGATCTACTATACTGTCTTGTATTAAGGCCACAGCTCTGGCTTGATGCTATTAAGATATATAACGCTCTATTATAAATGATATGGGAGATCTCATGAAGTACTAAATGTTTCATTGGCGGACCTAGCTACCGCTACTAAAAACGAGAGATCACACTGCTGTGCGTAGGGGAACTGTGGACATCATTATTTTGGCGTCCTGGTAGCCGGCTGCTCCGACGAAGCTGGGTACTCCCTTTTGTACATGGTCTGGGGATTGTATCCCGCAGCATGAGCGAAAATTTTCACCAGCATCGAAACAATATCTTGAGCACTGTGGACCCAGTGGTAAGTCTTTTCAATCCACTACAAAATCCATTAGTGATATTATAGCAAGTTTCACGATGATTTCTTACCTCCCCATTTGGGCGAATCCGGATAAACACCCACTCATAACTGTCCGTTGCGATTCCGTACACAGACTTGTCTCTAACTTTGGATTGCTTTCTTTTTTCGTGGATCATCGCTATTCATATTAGCAGTAAGCCACGTATGATGGAAATCAAAATCACTTACCCATATACGCGAGACAATGCAACATACCGCGTTTAAGAAAATGCGGTCTTTCCGCTTCAATAATAGCCACATTAGTCCCATATTTATTAGGTAGGCCATACGAAAGCGAGTAGTCAACGATGCCGGAAAGCTTCACCAGTCGGTTATCGCTTTTCCAATCGAATTTTATCTGGCGTTCGAATTTCAGGTGAATAGACTTGAGTAATGCGGAGGAGACAGTAGATGAGGCTGACACAGTGGAGGTATGGAGCTGTGCAACAAACTCGCGCTTCATCTTCGCCATAGTTGTCAAGATGATCACATTAATTCGAGATCTTATCAACGCCTCGCTTTTAGGTGAGCTGCCAGTTGCCATATCATAGTCTGCGAGGATAGAACCTATACAAGTTAGTGTCGAAGCATATCCATGTCAATAATCAAACTTACCTAGATGAGGAGGAAGAGAGACCTTTTCCGTCTTTCTGGGAGAAAGTTCGAACTCGGTGGGTGGACAGTGAGTGAGGTTAAAGTGATGCGGAATTTCAATCGGGTCAAGGTTGGTAATGGCGATTGTAGACATCTTTTCCTTTTTGCGCTTGGCACAATGTCTGAGAGGTTTGTTCTTTCGAGAGTCAACGATTTGCTCCATGGCTAGAAAAAAAGGTGTTCAACTAGTAGAAAGATTTGTAGGGGATGTCGAGGGTAGAAAAGATATAAAGAGGGATTAAATCTGACAGTCGACTACCTTCAGTTGAAATTTCCATGGATCGATAACATACCAAGGTTCGTGGGTTCGGCTTTTTTTTTTATTGTCTTTGTGTATGTACTTTTGAATATTCTATTGAATCTCTTTTTGAATGTCTTTTTAGATCTCTATATCTCTTTCTATATTTCTTTCTCCCATTGATAGTTAGAAAGATAAAGCATACGACTTCTAGGATTTTCATGTATAACATGTGCAGATATATGAAGTCTAATAGTCCGATGGTCAACCTTGGAAAGGCTCCGGTTTCTAAAAAGGGAAAGTATACTGTTGAGTCATATAACTTTTGCAGGTCATCTAGTCTTTTCTCTCTTCTCATAGAGTTCCATGATCTGTTCCTCAATTATTCAACTTTATTCAGCTTGGCTTTCTTCAAGATATTCAGTTGAAAATACTTTTTACAATGATTGAAAAAGACTGTGCAATTATCAAGGAGACCAAGGGACACCACCATATAGTGAAGGCCTTTGGTCTCTCGCCTACTAGATGGTGGAATAAGAGGCAACTCGACGCAAAACGCACCTGGAACATCCCAAATCATCTCGGTGAGTTTCAGCTAATTATCCACATGTTCGGTATTTGATTTGCTAACAACTGATTAGCGTGTTTATGGGACGACCTTGAGTTAATCACCGCTCGGGAGGGTGTCACACATCCGCTGTTCCCAATGAGAATAGAATCGCTTCTCCTCACGCTGCTCGCAGAAAATATCAAGAGAGGGTCATATCATCATGGAGGGCCCCTAGACTCACTCCACTGGAGCTTTCGGAAGCGAATATTCACGCCAGAAATGAAAGACGACCAAATTCTAGCTCCAGCGAATATCATCGACTACGTTTTGTGGTATGGCCACTGCTGGGAGCTCGAGACAAACATGATCGTTATGAAGTCTAAGAGACCGGTGCATCGGAGCTGGACTCTGCTTCAAAATATGTCGAGTATTCACCAGGCTCGCAAGCTAGCAGGAAGAGACGCAGTTATCTACGGTATTATAACCGATGGGTCGAAATGGGTATTCATGCATCTGAGTAATACATGTCGGGTAAGTGCTTACAAGTTTGAGGAAAGCCGGGACAATCTGTTTACTGAAACATTCTTTAGTATACAATCAAGGTGTTCTCTTGGGACAACGAGCGAGACCGGATAATTGCCCAGGCCCGGGATATAATCAACCAGGCAGCTGCTCTTCACAGAAAGCTACTGTCACGCTCGTCTCTGCCTACACCTACTGTCCATCAATTTAGGCGCTGTCAAATTAGAGAGATGCCTGCTCCATCCAATGGCTCTGGTGTTGAGAGTGGCTGCGTAATTGAGGAGAGTAGCTCTGAGACGGATATAGGACCCCTGGCCTGGTAAATTGCTGAAAATTCAAGTTTGGTATGTACGGCGGGCACGCTAGATAATGGAAATGTTTGAAATATCTCATAGCCGGTAATACCTCGATATTAAGGAAATCTTACAGTCCTTTCCTTTGCTCGCTTCTTTCACAGTTTCAGACTTACTATATAGTTAGTTAGTTACATGACAGTCTGTGCCTGAGGCATCAACTCTTTGCAAACCGATTAAACATACCTGCATTGCTATCCAATCACATGATGCCCTACACCGACAGACTGTAGGTCAACAGTGCTCCTGTGCTCCTGTGCTCCTCATTTCTGCCGTCGCTCAACATAGAAGCTCGCTTACATGTCTATCGCAACACTCCCCACGGAGCTTGTATGTGATATATGCGGCTATCTGGAGCTGGGCGACTGGATTGCGTTTCGGACCACCTGCCTTGCAGTGTACACGAAGTCGTTGGATGCTTTTGCAGAGCGGTATTGCAAAAGTATCGGTTTGATCCTCACTAGTCACAGTCTTCGTCGACTGGAAGAGCTTGCTGCAAATAATAGCTTCCGAACACGAGTTCAAGAGCTATGGGTTGTACCGTCCCTGTTTGGAGGCTTTTATGAGATGGATGTTGATTCCTTCAAGTCCTGCACTACTTCACATAGAGACATACCGCCTAAGACTGTTGCCCAGATCAATACTCAGCACACTGCATACCAGGATTTAGTGGCAGATCATCTCAGCATCATCGAATCCAATACTCTCAACAACGTCCTCAAAGAATGTATGGCACGTTTTGAGAACCTCACAGTCATTAGAATGCAACATAATGACTCGGACTTTTTCTGGAATTCAAATTCAATTGCGAAAGATGAGTTCCGCTGCCTCGGCTGGCACGGGGTAAAACACCAGCTTGGATTCAACCCATTCGGATTGAACCTCAGAAAACCCATACACAACCTCTGGAAGACCAGAGCAAAGGATCATGCTATGGCTTTTTCGGCTCTCCTAGAGGCAGCGGTTGCCTCGAATACAAAACTCAAAAAGTTAGACATATGCAACGATGAACATTGTGCTCTGCCCCCTTCGGATATTACACTCAAACTCACACACAAATCCCTGCTTTTCTCCCTGGAAGGATTAGAACATCTGCACCTCTGTATCTGCATCTGGGAAGTACAGTCAGATGATTCTACCCTCAGATATCTCATCGATATCCCTATAATAGTTGCACCAAGCCTCAAGGTCCTAACATTCTCCCAGTGGGACCGAAACGGTGTAATGAGCCCTCATTATTTTATCGACCTCTCCCAACGTATCAACTTCACCCAGCTAGTTGAACTCGATCTTTATTGGATTGAAATCACCTATGACACCTTAAAGGCATTTTTGCGCACCGCAATGCCGACTTTGAGGTCTCTTGCCCTACAGTCCTTGAACTTGAGGGGTGCAGCCCCAATGGACACCGACAGTGGCCATAACCTGTCAAGATGGGATTCTCTAGAGATGAATGAGGAGAGCAGTGCTGCTTGGCGACAGGTTTGGAATTTCCTCGGAGATGAAGCCTCGCTACAGTCTCTTTCCTTGAAAGAACTCGGTTATCGAGGTCATCGTCTACATTTACGCGATAATTTGAGCAATCTCAGCGGATCTTCCGAGCCGAATGGGCCAATAATTGCTGTCTTCGACGCCGAGCGAGCTAGTGTTTCCTTTAAGGACTGGGTCACTCAGCTACAAACAGGGCCACCACGGGGACCGCGTATGTGTTATGATACCATGCCAGGGAAAGATTATACCGCACAAATGGTTTGATCTGAAATCCTCACGAGGAATTGCTACAATAGATTGAACGAATCTAAACTGTAAGCACAACTTTCCCTCGACACTCAACCCTCCCGACATAATCATAAGCCTCACACGGTCAATCCGTCCAGCAAAAAACACAGAACCTCTCCCCTCACCTCAACAAAACACAACTCCTAAAAAAAGCCATCCCTTCTCACATCCTTCACATACACCTCGACAAAATCAAAACTCGTCGGGTCAATATCAAGACACTTCTTTCCTTCAAAACCCCAAACACCTCGCCTCGCGAACAACTCCTCACCAAATCAGCAACATCAAACCTGCCCTACCCACCAGCTGAGCACTCAACCCTCCATACTCAGCAACCTCGGCAGCCGCAAATGTCTTGAAAAACGCCATATTCCTCTCAACAGATCCAACCACCCACGACAATATGAATCCCAGCACACACAGCAAGCTGTACAAGAAAACCGCAAACCCCACCCTCACCAGCAACAAACACACGTTGTTCCAACTGATAAGCATGGTGATAATTCTTGTCCTGATGACGCTGTGGTTCCGACATCGCACGCCCGCCCAGAAGCGGAAGCGGAAGATTCGCATGCACAAAGAACGCCTCGTACGCCGTCTGCGCGCTAAGCGGTAATTCAATGCCGCTGCCTCTTCACACCCGAGACCCGCTGGTTAGTCTGCGACTTCGTCTGTTGTCGTGAGCGCGTGTGATGCCCATGTTGGGCGCAGTCTGCGGAAGTCATGCCGAAGACGGCTTGGGGGAGTTGTTGAACGTGGGGATATGGTTGTTACTGTCATTGCCCCGGATTGGGTAGGGTTGGTGGTATGGCTCGGGCTTTGTGGGGATGTCATGGATTATTGATGTTGCTTTGATGGGGAGTAGGGGTTGGTTTGGGTTGGGAGTTAGGAGTTATGATGGGGAATAGGATGATGGGAAGTGTGGTGCTTGACTTGCATTTTAAGGGTTTGTCGGTATGGATTTATGAGAGAGAAAGGGTTCAGCGGCATATTGAATGGATATCTGGCTTTCATGTCCGAGTCGAAGTATGGTTCTACAGATAGAGTACAGCTTTATGCTTCCATGAATAGGTTGAATAAAAAATACTAATGGGTTTCATTAACCATCAATGTAGTCATAGGGGGGCATGTCTTGAGAGGAAAGAATAACTATGTGCAAAAGGCAATGCTGGCTGTACAACGTCAAGAAAATAATTCATGTGGACATGTGTATCCTCCTGGTTTCATTCCAGAAAAAAAGATTTACTCAACCGAGGGCAAGTCGGCCGAGAGAGGCAACTTGCGGGATGAGTTGCCGACATACACCTTCTTTTGGGCATCAGAGATCACCCAGTTCTGGGAAGCAACGTCCCAGTTGGAGACATCACGGCGGGTCAGAGTAGTAGTCCACTGGAGGGACTGACCGGGGGCAATGGTTACTCGGTCAAACTGACGCAGAACCTTTGAGGGCTCATCATCGCCACCGAGGGAGACGTACAACTGGGGAACCTCGTCACCAGTCACGGAACCGGTGTTGGTGATAGTGGCGGTCACCTGGTAGAGGTCCTTGAACAGGCCGGGATTGCCACCGGAGTTGCCGCTAGAGGGGAGAAGGTCCTGGGGAGAACCATCGGTAGCACCCTCAGGAAGGTAATCCTTAGAGTCCATGCCATAGTCAGGATCACCGGACGAGGCACGCAGATCGGTCGAGTTCAACCACGGGTAAAGGTACTGGCGGACGCGCTTAATTCCCTCGGGGAACAGGTTATCCGAAACCTCGCCAGCTTCACCGAGAACGGGGGCCTTTTGGGTCTTTCCAGTGGTTGCTTTATACTCGTTGTATTCAGTCGAGGCAAGAGGGGTGACCTTCAGCTGGGAGAAGGCAAAGTTGGTGTAGCTCAGACCGTAACCGAACTCGTAAATGGGCTCTGTGTTGTCCTTGTCGAAGCGGCGGTAGTCAATGAAGACACCATCCTCGAAGTTGTCCTGAGGAGCATCGGCGCCGTTGTTGGGCACTGTGAGGAGAGGAGGCCCGTAGTCCTTGCGAGTCTTACCCCAGGTGAATGGAGTCTTACCACCGGGATTGACACGACCATACAGTACGTCTACCAGACTGCGACCGCTCTCCTGGCCCGGTAAACCAGCCCAGACAATGGCGGTAATGTTGTCATTGTCATACCAGTCGCTAATCAGAACAGCGGATGTGCTGTGGATCACAACGATAGTGTTGTTGCAGTGTTGACTAGCAGTCTTAATCACCTCATCGCCATTCTTCCAGAGCGTCAGGTTCTTGCGGTCACCCTCGTTGCCGTCAACATTGATGTATCCCTCGCCAGAGTCGGCGTTCACGAAAACCAGGGCAACATCAGCCTGAGAGGCCAGGGCGGCCATCTCCGTGAGGGCCCAGTTATCAGTCACAGCGAAGACGTTAGTCTGCCCGTTGCTGTATTCCAGGACTTCATTTTGGATGGCTTGCTCAGGTGTAATCAGGTAAGGGAAGTTGGCAGTTCCACTACCCCAGCCCATGGCCAAAGTTCCGTTGTCACAGCCACGGTCGCTGCACCCATTGGCACCATAAGCATTAGAGCCTGCATCCTCTCCCAAAATGCCGATGAACTTCTCATTGTGGGTAAGAGGCAGTGCACTACCCTTGTTCTTGAGCAGGACAGTGCTGTCAGAGCCAATCTTGCGAATGATCCGGGCATGGTCACGCTGGACATTTACGCGCTCGTTGACCTTGCCCCAACCCTCGCTGACCATGGCATGCTCGAAGCCGTACTCATCGCGGGTCCAGGAGCTGAAGTTTGGAGGAGTGCGGAAGCGATCACGTCCAACCTTGTAGTAAGCAGCCATGATTCGGACAGCCATGTCGTCGACGCGCCATTCTGGGACGGTACCGTTCAGAACGGAGATGGTCAGGTTGGTTCCCCAGTAGGAGTAAGGACTGCCAAGATAGACATCACCGGGCATGGACATATCCAGACCGGCCAGAGCAGACTCGACACCACTGTGGTGCGCACCCCAGTCGCTCATCACAAAGCCCTGGAAGCCCAGTTCGCCCTTGAGCAGCTTGTTGAGGGTATAGCTGTTTCCGCAACCATAGCTGTTGTTGATCTGGTTGTAGGAGCACATGACAGAGCCAACACCAGCACGGATAGAGTCCACGAAGGGCCAGAGGTACAACTCGTGCATGGTCTTGTCGTCAATGTTTGAGCTCAGACTCTGCGAGATGTTGTATCCGTATCCCTGAGCCTCGCCGGACTGACGGAAGTGCTCCTGTTCATTTCCAATGAAATGCTTAGCGCAAGCAATGACACCAGCATCCTGCATACCCTTGATAGTCTCGGCCATCATCACACCAGTCAAAACGGGGTCAGGCGAGAATCCTTCCCAGTTACGACCGCCATCGGGGTACTTGCCCAGAGGGCCAGCAACGGGACCCAACTGCACATCCACACCTTTGTCGCGGTGCTCCTCGCCCATTGCCGTACCACGTTGGTAGGCAAGTCGCTTGTCCCATGTCGCGGCAACATTGACACCAGAGGGGAAACCAGAGTTATAATCACCTGTTCGAATTCCATTAGTTGACTGCCCCAACTGTATTCGGGATGAACAATCTTACTAAAGCGCACACCCAATGGCGAGTCCTGCATACACATTCCCCACATACCAAGTCGGGGAATCCCACCGGTCTCACCAACACATCGTTCTTGCTCCCAGCCAGCACCGGTTGTCAAGTTGACTTTCTCGGCCAGGGTCAAATTAGAGACAAATTCGACGGCGCGTGTGTATGCATCAGACCACTCGCCCGCGCCAGTCATCCATGGAGAGGGATAGTATGGAGGCGAATAGGCCAGGGGCTGTTTTGACTCGAATTCATTAACAGTGATACTATTAACCGATTTGAATTGAACTCACATTTGCATTCACCACCGAGGCCGTCAAGCCGGCGACTTCTAGCCACCCGAACTTCATTGCTGTGAAAGTACTGTGAGAGGATTTCACAGAGACAGCATAAAAAAAAGAGTAAAAGGCGTGAGGAAGGAACGAGTCACGGAGGGAAATACATGGATCTTAAATGTTCGATCTCCTGATTGCTCACAGGGGGGCTTGCAATATTGTGCATAGCGTATAATATTTACGGAGTACTCCATAAAATGAAATCAATTGAGAAAGGGATCGACATTAAAGTATGCACTATCCCACTAATCACATTATATCGTCTCCTATGATTGGCTTATGGCCGATGCTCACTGAAACCCACTGGAGCTCTCACTTTGGAGACACACTTTCACCTTGAAAGGGGACACAAGGCATAGTGTAAATAGTGGCTGGTAAGGGGATTCTCGAGAAGCACAGGGTGAGAACTCAATCCCCTTTCCTAAGGAGATCAGAATCACACCTGGATAGCATTACCCAGCCACTTTGTCTCTGTCTTACATGCACTATTGGTTCCCCTTGAATCCATCGTGCTTCGATTCCTATGAGAACGGCTATACTTCGGCATCTCACATTGATATGTTACCCTACCACCGCGCTCGTGCCTCTTCCCCGCCAATTCTAATTCTCCGTTGGATGTAGCAGGGCCCTTTGACCTTTCAGAGTTCGGCTTCTTACTCCGTACGGAGTAGTATACTGGGGTATGCAGCTACACTCCGCACCTCACCTGATCACTCCCGATCAAATGTGCCTTCCAAGAATTCTAATTTGAACTGACCACTTTCTCACAGATCGTCACTTCTCCTTCCGAATGGGGAAACCCTTCTAGAGTGTGGGGAAGGGGACTCTGTTGAGGTCTGTTCCTACAACATTGTATAGCTAATACGTGTTATTTACAACTTTCGAAATATGTTTTGCTTTGCTCAATACTTTTCTGTCCATTTCCTACACAAATATATTGGGCTACGCCATCCGCAGCTAAGCGTTTTCGTGGAGACCGGGAGTGCGGGGCTCTAGAGGGATGCCGACTCTTTCTGACGGCTTTGCGTTAATTGTCTATCTTGGCTAAGCACATTCTCGGTCAAGTGTTCTTTTCGGGTATACTACTTACGTTTTAGCGTATGTACTTCTCACGTTCGGGTGTTGCATACTCTTTTCACCGAGAATGTTCCCCCACACTTATGCCCCGGCATCGGAACCCCCATATCCCGGTTTTCTCGGCTTAGACCAAACAGTCTAACCAGGCACACTTTCACATCTTCTCGGTCAATTTTTCGCGTCATGCAAGTTTTAAAACTCCGACGGCTAAATACTGCTCTGTACGGAATTCACCGGCCTAAAGAGAAAGCAGATTCTAGAACTCTACTCTGTGCTTCCCCGTACCATGAAAAACTTTATATGGAGAACTGATCCTGGACGGGATGCACCGCCAAGCAGCGATCTTTCCATTTTTGCGGCTAATCATCGGTTTTTTGACTGAATATCGTTGCGTTTCAAGGCTTCCACCGGTTGGAGATTCGGCAGTCCGAGGGTTCGCATAGGTGCCGTTTAGTTTTCGGCATAGGAGCGTTGTGGGCTTGTCACTTAAGTGGATTCAATTTTAGATGGGTGTTTCTCATTGATTGTGTAGTTATTTGTGGTCTGGGATGCAGAAAATATGAGACACATTTACGTCATTAGCGTAGCTAATGCCATTCT